GAGCAACCTCTACAAGCATCGCAAGTCCCATGCTCACGCCATCAAGGCCGGACTCGTACCTTTTTCCGAGCTGGCTGCGTCCCGCGGGGGGGACATGGACCAGGCGTCCCCGGCGGGCGAGGCCGAGATCCACTCGGATGGAGAGCAGAGTACGGATACAGACGAGGAAGGTCCGGAGGGCTCCACCATGCTGACGGACAAAGACAGCCCCATACCGCAGATCCCCTTCGAGGCCAACAAGAACAGAGGTCAATTTCCCATCTTGGAAATGATTAAATAAAAGTTAACGTTAAGGGTTTTATTCAATCAATTGCTTTGTATGGAGTTGTTAATCGTATTAATTAAGACTTAAACGATATTATTATGTTTTAAATTCACTGTACACTCCCTAACATATTCATTCACTGCCTATATGTATTGCATTGTATGTATTTTCTATATCATACCCCTCTCTCTCCCCCACTGTGCAGGTGGTGTGGAACCAGCATATGCAGACTCAGCTGAAGAGCTCCCGCTGGGGGCTATTAAAGTGCCTATCCTTATTGTCCCCAAGCCTGGGGGAGTCCCCTCCACGGGGATGGAGTGCCCGTCCTCTCACTACATGTTGGCATCGCACGCTGGAAGAGCACATTCCCTGGATGACTCTCCCTCCATCAAACAACGTTCGGCCCTGAGGCCTAATGAGAAAAAAGGTCAGGAGTCTGAATGTGCCACGTCGCAGTCCCTGAACCTCCTCAGTCCTCACAGCAAAGGCAGCACGGACTCTGGCTACTTTTCACGCTCTGAGAGTGCAGAGCAGCAAATCAGCTCTCCGAATACTGATGTCAAGACGTACGAAGAGATCATGTTTGGTCGGACTTGGTACTACCGACCCAACTCCAGATCCAGACAGTCCATCACGGTGGGCATGGCGGGTGCAGACCCCAGCTTAGCGGGTTTGAAGCAACCGGGTGGGATTCTGGACATGGGGAAGATAGCTGAGGATCATATATGTTTCAGGGGTGATGTAGGAGTCTCTGGAGATCCCAAGCAGTATCCAACGGGACCCTGTCAAAGCAGTACAGGGCTTCTGGAGCCTCCATCCGATTCCGCAACGCTTATTAGGAGTAACTCCATGCCAAACTCCTCCCCGCCCAACCTCAGCGTGCCCCCTGCCATCCGAGGGAGCCACTCCTTCGATGAGATGATGACGTCGGATGATGTGTTTTACCCACCGGGGCGTAGACTCAGAAGGCAAGCTGCATTTGAACATTCAGCCAATGAGGCCCATGTAGGAGAGGCCGAGGGCTATGGACACATGCCCAAGAGTTTAGCTTCGTCTCTGGGTATGAAGATTGGTGAGCGCAACCCAGGAGTCCCGGAGCACGTGGCCTACAGCCCGTATGGTACTAAAGTTAGCATGTCAGAAATAGCAACAAGAAAAAGGAGGAAAGAGAAGAGTGTTGGGGATGATGAGGACAGCCCTGGGCATTGTGACAGTAGCTGCAGTGGTTCAGTTGACATGATAGGTGACTATGAGTTCAAACAAGGAAGTCTTGATGGGTCAAGAGCCACCCCTACAGGAAAAGGCTCTCTCCAGAGCGCTCACAGCCAGTCCGACAGCTTTGATACCTGTGCCAGCATGTGCTCTGAGGACATTGCATTTTTACCTGACTCTGAGGTCAGGAAAGCATCTGGGAATGTCATATCAGTCATTCAGCACACCAACTCCCTCAGCCGGCCAAGTTCCTTTGAGAAGTCAGAGTCTTTTGAGCAGCCAGGGTATCCGCCTTCAGATAGAGCTCTGTCCAGCCAGTACTCTGAACAGTCCGACACAGATATCTTTGAAGATGCGCTGAGTCCTGAATCCGCCCTCCTGAGAACGGAGAGCATGGAGCAGCAGGTGCAAAGCGACAGCGACCTGGCCTCCCTCTCGTCTTCTTCAGCAGCGGCGTCACCTGGCCAGCCTTATCACATCCCACACAAGCTGGTGCGACAACCCAACATCCAGGTTCCTGAGATCAGGGTGACGGAGGAGCCCGACAAGCCTGAAAAAGATACAGAGGCTCCCATAACCAAGGAACCGGAGAAGCAGCTCCAACATGTGGAGGAGTTCCAGCTGCCACAGAGGAGTGACACACTCGCCCAGATGCCATCAGAAAAGCTCCCGCCCAAGAAGAAGAGGCTCCGCCTGGCGGATATGGAGCATTCATCAGGAGAATCGAGCTTCGAGTCCACCTGTACCAGCTTGTCTCGAAGCCCCAGTCAGGAGAGCAACCTGTCCCACTCTTCTTCCTTCTCAATGTCCTTTGACAGAGAAGAAGGCCTCAAGTCCGTCTCGCCCACCAAACAGGTACTCAAATTTTTTATATTTAGTACTTTCAAGAATCCTGGCTCCCCCTCCAGAAGATTTATCAGAGATTCCATAACATGCACTGCTTGCATTGGTCCTACAATAGTTATGGTACATTATCCTTACTTTATAAGTCTTGTGTATGTTATGTTGTTGCTATGTTGTCTCACAAAACCTACAATAAACAGCTTGTTCCCAATAATTGACCAACTGTCCATGTGATTGTGAACCAGGATGACTCGTCAGCGTCTGGCGGTGGACCAAAGCAGTCGGAGTTCCTGACGGTACCTGGCACTGGGCATTCCAGCCACCATCAGCAGAGAGAGATGAGGAGGTCTTCATCGGAGCAGGCGCCATGCACGCTGCCCACAGAGATGCCTGAAATGCGCAGTAAATCCTTTGACTATGGAAGCTTGTCCTCCTCCAGACAGGGAGAGATTTACTCCAGTGCCTCTGGAATGAAAGATCGCCGGCGGGGATTTCTTGTCCGACAGGTATCAGAAAAACTACTTGCACTTATTATGGTAACTCTTTAAAAAAAGGACTGGAAGTTAGTAGATGATGGGAGCAGGCGTTTCGTCACACATCACATTGTGACGAGACCTACACTTTAATTTCATAACTAACCAGCTATACTTTTGGATATTTTACAGGCTTCACTGAGTGTGTATCCAGAGGCAATCATCCAGGAACCGGGGAATGCTGAGATGTCAATCAAACAGGAAGTCCTGGATCATGGAGCATGGCCTGGCCCAACAGGATCCCCCCACAGCAGCAGCGATGTGCCTGGTAGAACCAAGAGAGTTGGCAGTAGCACTGGAGGTAAGTTTAGCATGACAGCACTAAACTATTGGATAGCTATTTTTTAAACTTCGCCAAAGCTTTTATTCATTGCAGTATCAGAATAATATGTGTTGAGGTCTTTCTCTTCTCTCTTAATTTAGACTGTATTCTCTCCTCATGGGATTTTTTTTGTGGAAAAGAATTTAATGTCATAATACGATACATTCTTATGTTTTATGCACATTTGCAGGATCCCACCACCAGCACGCTCAGCATCACATCCAGCACAGTATTAGTGAGGACAGCCTGCAGGACGAGCCTCTCTATAGGTCCCATCAGCATCGCTTGCAGACCCAGGGCTCTTCGTCTGAGGGTGAATATCAAGGTCATGAGGTCATGAATAAGGAAGCAATCCAGCAGTACCCGAGTGGCCCTCCCTTCCTTACCTACCAGCAACCCAGTTTGTTCTGGAGTCAGGAGATCGGTCGGACTACCAGACAGCAGCTGACCCTCCAGGCCCAGCAGCAGCTTCAGAAGCTCCACATCCGATCACCGGGCTCCCTGCCTGGACACCCCCTCCACAAACATCAGCCGCTTCACTCCCTGCAGCCACACGATGGAAAGTCAGAAAAGCCGAGCTCTCAAATGTACGCCGCCTCTTTCTCATCTCGCAACTCTCCCCTGTCCCAGCAACAGCAGCAGAACTTTGCTTCGCTCTCCTCCGCGCACCCCTTGCCCAGCTCCAGCACTGCCGCCGGGCTTCTACAGCAGGTCCAACCAGTCTTTGCCACCCAGAACCTGGGCACTCGGTCTTCACTGCCTGGTATGCTGGTACCTGTGCGCCTCCAAACCCACGTGCCATCCTACGGTAGTGTCATGTACACCAGTGTTAGCCAGCTGACGGCCACCCACGGAGGCGGAGCACAAGGCGGAGCCTCGGCAAGGCCGGGCGGAGCTGACAGCGGCAACGTGTCTCCTTCGGTCGTTGCTGTTGGTGTCAACAAACCACCCGGAGGAATCGGAGGGGGCATAAGTGGGGCGGGTTTCAACTTGTCGCACTTCCTCGGACACACTGACGGCGCGGCGCTGCGCCACCCGTCCTGGAACGTCGCAGACTCGCTGCCGGAGCACCGCCTGAACACAGGGATCCCGTTGTCAATCACCTCTGGCACCATATCCACCACCGACGCCTCCGGGGCCGGCGCCGGAGGCAGCAAGCGCATGCTCTCCCCCACCAGCTCTCTGGAGCTCTTCGTCGAGACGAAGCAGCAGAAGAGAGTGAAGGAGGAGAGGATGTACGGACAGATCGTCAAGGAGATGAGCGCGGTGGAGCTGAGTGGAACCGAGAGCGGCAACGAGCCCCTGACGGTGCCGGGCGCAGGTCGGCGAGCGCGTCTGAAGAGCGAGGGCTCCATGGATGACTCTGAAAGGATGTCCTCTTCTCCTCCGCTCAGCGACTTCCCCGCCGGCGCCAAGATCGCCGTCCCCGTCCGTTCCTCCGCCCCCCACCTTCCCGACGTTCCCCGGGCCGAGAGCTTCACTCCTCCTCTCCAGATCGTCACGGACCGCTCCCCAGGTTCAGCTGGTCGGGACTCCCCGGAGGAGCTGAACGTGGACGACTCCGTCCCGGAGCCCAGCGCCAGCCCCCAGTCGATGGTGTCCTCCGACGACGCAGAGGACACCGACAACCCGGACGAGCCTTCGCCCGGTAAGATGCCAGTCAGCATGCTGGTGCAGCTAGCAGCCCACCGGAGCCCGGTTCTGCCTGGACCCGGGGGTCAGACCCTGCTGCTCACGGATGTGGCTGACGCACAGCAGTTTCTCCGGTTCCCGAGCCTGCGCGCCACCAGCAGGGTGAGCTGGTGTTTCCTGAACTACACCAAACCCAACAGCACGCAAACGGCGTCGCACAGCTCCGTCTACAACTCGTGGTGCGTGAGCTCATACGACCCAAACCCTCTGAATCTCAGCACCAAGGCCGCGCTGGCCCTGCTGAGGTCCAAACAGAGGAGAGACACCGATTCAATCTACTCGACCGCCGCCATGTCGCCACCCAGCTCCGGGAAGCTGGTGTCATCCGTGGCCTGGAAGCTGAGGTTTGATCAGGTAACGAAATTAACAAACAAAGTAACACGAAAGTGTGGAAATACAGAGAAATATGAGCGCGGGAGGTGCGGACGGCTCATTCACGCCACTGCTCTCCTCTCTTTGCTTCTGCTGCAGCTGAAACCAGAGCTGATGCCAGTTGATGCCGGTAATCTGGTGAGGAAGATGAAGGGCGTGGTGACGTGGGACCGGTCGAAGGAGGAGCAGGAGGAGAAGGAGGTCTCGGTCAAACAGGCCGCCACCGAACCGACTCGGATTAAGATCTTCGAAGGCGGGTACGTCCCGAAAGTACACACACCCGTCCAACGGAGCGTCTTATATCAAAGTATTGGGGAAAATGCCATGAATAGCACACATGTTAGCTAGTTTTTCTTATGGTATTTTTGCCTGCGTGGAATCTGAAGCCGAGCCTTCAGACTTCAGACCTGCAGTTTGCCTTTTCCCTGGTCAGCAGATCCCATCGCGCGTTTTATTGGAGCGTTTGTTTCATCCTTCCTCTGAGACCTGCCGAGAGCAGATTGAAAGTCTATTACTGAAAGTCTATATCGCGTCGATTCATTCCTCCGTGGCTGGGAATACTGCTAGAATTGAAATTGTCTGCTAAATAATTCAAACCCCAATAAGACTTTGAAGGTCAATAATCAAAGAGAGAATGTACAAAGACAGCCTTACATAAAAGTATTCAAATGAATAAATCCTCACGAATAGGTTCATATTTGGTGTGATTATATCAATGCAACATCTTCATAATTACATAGAAATATTTTCATTCCCGTCACTTGTTTATTTGCGTAATAACTATATCTGGTGCACAGAGAGAACTTTTGTTGAGGAATATTTTTGGATTTGATTTGGATCTTCGCTTTCTCTCATGGTCTAAAAGACGGAGATCTGATTCCGCTGAGCGGCTTTGCTGAGAGTTGCTTTCCAGAAGGTAAAATAAGGATTAACTCTAAAACAGGATTACAACCAGAATCAGGGCTGAAGAGATGTTTCATTGGATTCATTTATATGTATTATGCTTTGTTGTGTTTCTCTTATAGAAAGGTAGTTTTTACTACTTTCCAAGGTGATTCATTAAATACTAAACCAGAACAAAGGCCCTATGTGTGGTGTACCACATCTATTTCAGGACCCTCACTATTTCTTACTTATATAAATGACTTTCCATTAGTTTGTAGATTTTTTTCCCCATAATGTCAAGCAAACAAGCCGATGATACCGACATCATAACAAGCAAACTAAATGACACATTCTGATAATACAAATGAGGAAATGTTGACCTCCGCTGTCACTGTCATCTAACCAAGATACGACTTTCCCACATCAAACACTGCATTTCACGATGAAAGCTTTTGATTGATTGCAAAGAAACCAAGAAGATTAATATTAATTATGATGCTATTAAAGTCACGTAAAGCTTCTTTTTCACATACAAACCAGAGGAATTTGTCCCGTATTAAAGTAAGAGTGAGTTCAGGCTACAAACTCTGTAGTTCAAGACATTCCTGCAGTAGCATAATGTTTTATACACAGCAGAGCCAATAAAACCAAGGATTCTGAACAAACAGAGATGCAAATGCCCTCAGATGCACAAACACACGCACACACACACACAGACACACACGCGTGCACACACACACACATACACATTCCTCTTTGTGTGGCATTAATGTTTCATTCGTTTTCAAAGACGATCTGCTTCATAACGGAATAAAACAAACTGTTATGTTTCATTTTCATGAGCGTCTCTGTGAACCTCTCGAGGGATTTCCCGCCCTGCGGTGACACATGATGTTTGACCTCCTGTGACCCCTTCCCTCGGCCCCCTGTGACCTTTCCTTTCCTTTTTGGCCGTCGCTCCACCGGCGGTCAGTGGCGATTTCTCTCCTCGCTGCCAAGTGTCCGCCGCTTCCCTCAGAGACTCTTTGAGGGCAGAAAAACACGTCTGGCAGCGACGGGTTTATTGTAGAAGGATAAGTGGCGCTGGAGGGAGGACTGCGGTTGTCTGTTTTTAGAAAAAAGGAGCAGCGTAAAGACTCTGAAACCAAAAGCCAAGAGGTGGAGCGCCTCATTGTTTCACCGTTTTAGCGTCTGATCCCTCGGAACAAAGCAGCCGTTGCTGCAGTGAAGCGTCAGACCGGGTCCACTTAAACAGGGACTTCATGCATGAACCCAAAACGTGGGTTCAATTCAAGAGTACGGTTTTGCAGTGAATACCATCTCGATTGGTCGAGTTTTAAAATCCCATTTAAAAGGAATGTGATAATCTTACTTTTTGCATTTTTAATGTTCTACTTTTTGCTTTTGATCCCTAATCGCAAAGAAAACATTCCACTGTCAAACGCTTTATTTCTCTTTTGCATAAAGACAAAAGCACCTTCATCATCCTGGTTCTCGCGCTCTCTTCCAGGTACAAATCCAACGAGGACTACGTGTACGTGCGCGGCCGCGGGCGAGGTAAATATATCTGCGAGGAGTGCGGCATCCGCTGCAAGAAGCCCAGCATGCTGAAGAAGCACATCCGCACGCACACCGACGTGCGGCCCTACGTCTGCAAGTTCTGCAACTTCGCCTTCAAGACCAAAGGTCATTTCCTCACCGCATGATTCAATAGGAGGTTTACTTTTTTAATTAAAAATACCCTTGTGGACAAGCGTAACTTGATGTTTACAGCTTCTGTGAGCAGGAAAGTCGCTACGTACAAATGTTGTATCATCCCGGCCGCTTTTCTTTGCTCTTGTAGCCAAACAAGCTGTGGTCTCCAGGTCGTTAAATGGTGTGTGTGTGTGTGTGTGGCTTTTGCAGGAAACCTGACCAAGCACATGAAATCAAAGGCTCACATGAAGAAGTGTCTGGAGCTCGGCGTCTCCATGTCTTCTGTTGAGGACACTGAGGCGGACGAAGGAGGTAGGAAACGCACAAAAACACACGTGTCCAAAATGTCCTCACACAGGTCTAAAAGTCCCCTGCACACGCACACACACACACACACGCACACGCACACAGAGGCGCATCGATCAGCTGACGTGATCAGTGAATCATCGTCACTGAGGAAGAAGTTGTGCGCTTAAGGGGATGAAGCTGCTTTGCCCTGAAACACAAGAATGAATCGTCATCGGCGTGTCGCCAGGTGGCGGAAACAAGTCAAACCGGTTTTATATTTGTGTATTTGTTCGCAATTAATAAAACCTCCAGCTGTTTGTGTGACAGTAATACAGCTTTATTGTCATCATTAATTAGATAAGCTCTTAATTAGCTAGTTTAAAATCTAAATGTACGACTTACTGTTAATTAATTGACGTTCACCTCCACCAAGAATGTTTTTTATGATTTAAAGTAACATATAAATGTTGTATTCTCACAGTGTTAATTTAATCATTTCCGTTATAATCTGATAATTATAAAGCTGTATCTAAACACTTTATCAGAGTAAGATTTTCCTCACAACTATGATAAATGAACCTTTAAAAGATTTTTTATTTCACCTTCAAAGGAACTTATTCCAAATCTCTTTTGCATATTCAGCTCCTTTGGAAGCTGAATATCCGCACAGAGGGTAAAATAAATGTCTGTGGGTTTAAGGAGGTTGTTTTTTATTTAGATATTATTATATTAAATATAAATAACTGCTTGAGATCTATTGGACTTGCTGTTGAGCAAAGATTCGTCTAATTAATGACCTCAAATGAAAACATGATATCTTCCACTGCAGGAACGTAGTGTCATTTATGAAGAGTTTCAAAATAAAAGTCATGTTTTTGTGGTTGTGGTTAAAAACTCACAAATTACCGTAACTGCAAATGGTTCAGACCACGAAATTAAACTTCAATCGACCCTGTTTGTGTGTGCGTGTGTGTGTGTGTGTGTGTGTGTGTGTGTGTGTGTGTGTGCGTGTGTGTGTTGGCTCTGCATTTCATGTATCTGGAAACAAACCCACACATTCTCACACATTCAGCGTTTTTGGGGAAAAGACGGATCTCCAGGAAGTCAGTCAGTACTTACTGATGTTACATGTGTGTTTGTGTGTTTGTTGTTGCGTATGATGTGATTTCTGCTCGTAGCAGTCGGGTAAATTCAATTTAATAACTCTGAGCGGTTTGTGCTTCTCAGCGCTGGCGGAATCCAGCAGAAGCAAATCAAATAGATGGAAATAAGAGTAATGAAGGTCATGAAGCTTTTTGGATATTTCTACAACTTGTGGCTCTTTGAAACCGGAGAACTTTGTGCGAATCTTCGTCAACTTTAACACAAAGAGTCACGGCAGTAAACCAACTTTTTTATTCCCGTAATTCTCCTTTCCGTCAGTTATCATGCAATCCCGTTGGTTTTATGAGAAGGTCGGACCCACAGTGATGGTTGTTCACCGGCCAACAGTAACCTTCAGCTCCCGTAGAGCTCGCCAACATCTGGCTGCAGTCCGTCCCGCAGAGAAGCAAAGCGCCAGATGTTTTGCTGGTTTGAGCTGCTGGGAATGAGGTTTCTGTGGTGTTTCACATCAAAACTCTTTCCGCTGCCACAAGTTAATACAAAGTCTCTTCCTGCTTTGCTCCTTCTTCCCCTTCCTGTCTGTTCATCCATCCTTGTCTCCTCCTTCTTCTTATTCCTCGTCTTCAACCTCTTCTTCTGTGTTGTTCCTCCTCTTCCTCCTCCTCCCTTCACGCCCTCACTTTCTCTCCTGTCTAGATGGCGGAGACGAAGGTCAGAGGTCAGAGAAGATGTCCAGAGGCGCCATGGCGGATCACCAGTTCTCAGACGCCGACGACTCGGACGGCGGTGAGGACGACGGCGACGAGGAGGACGAGGACGAGGAGGACGACTACGACGGCGACTCCACCCCGAAGACCCGCTCGCGCTCCACCAGCCCGCAGCCCTACGGCCCGCCCTCCATGTCTGTCACCGTCGTGGCCTCCTCCTACCCGGGGCCCCACCTCCCCCACCGCGGCGCGTCCGACCTCCTGGGCCACGCCGACCGGCCCCCGCTCTTCAGCTACTTCACCACCGTGCCGAGCATCCGGATCACGCCGCAGGCGCCGCCGCCCGGCGACCACGGCCAGACGGAGTACCAGCGAGGCCCGTCGAGGGACGGCGGGCGGCGGCCTGCTGGCCCCGCCCTCTCCTCGTCCTCTATGGACGACGACCTCGCCGTCCCGTCCCCGGGCCTCTCCTCCCCGTCCTCCCGGCTGTCCTCGCCCGGGCCGGACTACCCCGGCTGCCCCTCCCCGAGCTCCCCGTCCTCGTCGCCTTCGGCCCGCCGATACCTCTCGCCGCGCCGCGACCTCTCGCCCCGCGCCAGACGCCTCTCGCCCCGCCGCGACCTCTCTCCCCTCCGCCACATCTCGCCCAAGAGGGACCTGGGGGGATACAGGCGAGACCTCTCCCCCAGGAGGGGATACCTCTCGCTGCTCTCCCCCCTCCCTCGGCCCACGTCTCCATCGGGAAGAGACTACAAGCGCGACCTCTCACCACGAGGCCGCCACAGGGCGATGATCCGGCCGGTTTCTCCTCGCCGGGGGCTCCATCAGCACCTCCACCACCAAAGGTGAGTCCGGGGAGATTTTCCTGACGGAGGAATCACGACGGAATCAGTTGGTTAAAATCTAAACTTCACCACTAGAAGCCCCCAGACCGTCCACGCTGCTCCTTTAAATTAAAGATTTAATTGGAGGGTCTAAACTTAACGCAATATTTCCACTTCCTGTGTGACCACCAGCCAGCAGAGTGGATCGCGGGGCCTCAGGACGGGTCACCAGGGCGGCGTTCCGGGTCAGGCCGAGCTGGGACGCCGCAGGACCAGTGCAGAGATGGAGACGGTAAGAGTCCCAAACACTCTACGAGACACGCTGTGCAGGTTGATGACATTAAAGCTTCCATTCAAAAGTTAGAGAGAACCTTTAGAAACATGTACAGGAAGTGGACGTAGTCGTGGTGACGTCACATTGTGTTTGTGGACTGCTGTTTGAAAGCCATATTTGGAGAACGTACATTTAACTAAATGAACATCATGCTGTACTTGAGACTTGAATCTAGATTGAGACCATGAACTCATGTTTACTGAGGGAATAAATAGAGAGAGAAGAAGAGTCATTTTCTCATAGACGTCTATGGGAGCAGAGGCGTCGCCCCCTGCTGGTCGCTACACAGAATGCAGCTTTAACTCGTGAAGCTTCGGTTTCTCAGAAGCGGAGGGAGCTTCTCACAGTTTCCACTTGTGTGACGTTCAGGTGCTTGAGTGGGATTCAGTGAACTTTTGACCCCTCTGTGGTTCAACCTGGAGCACAAGTGAGGGGGAAAGGACAGAGAGAAGAGAAGAAGAAACTAACCCAACGGAGGGAGAAGGGGAGGAAAGCGCTTGGCAGCGGGAGCAGAGACATTCAGAGAGGATGAGGGAATGTAGAGCGCGTCCAACAGACGCAGCGCGTTGCGATGATGGAAGACGGGCGGCGGCGTTCTGCCGGTAATGGGATCCTGGCCGGCGTTGCTGTGGTTAATAACACGGCTGTTTTTCTTCTTAAGAGCCCCACTTCAAACTCTGGCTTCTGCTGCTGGTCCCACTTCAACGACGCGTGAAGCGGCGAGCGAGAGCGGCTGCGCTTTGATAAGCGACCGGCCTCCGAGTGATGGATTTGTGTTTTAACGAGCGTCGTACAGGCGCAGTTTGGAACAACCAGGCGTCGCAGTTTGACCACTTCTCACCGACGCTTATTCAATTATTCTGGGACTAAATGTTATGTTTCCCATTGCGATGCCTCAGATGTGTGATTAATGTAACTAATGTGTGTGTGTGAACTTTACATTTTAATGAACAACGGGGAAGAAAAAAGGTCTCACTGGCTCATGATTGATGTTCGTCTCCTCTCATGCCTCCAGGAACATTGTCTGGTCTCGCCGTCGCCAGGGGAACGGGACCAGGGTGGTAACCGCGGTAACGAGTCCAGCCCACTCCACCAGGTCCTGTTCAGTCATCTTCCTCTTCACTCCCAACTACAGGTACTTTTTCAATTTGGTTATTGAACTCATTCCTACATTGTATGTGTATTGTGAATTGTGTAAATTGTACCACATTTTTTTTATTACAAAATTTTCTTTTTTCTCTTTTAATTTAATTTTTCTTAATTTTTCTTTTATTTATTATTTTCTTTTGAATTTGTTTTGCTCAATGGCTCAATGAAACAATCATTTCCATTTCAGGTGCGTTCGCCGTTCCCAATGATCCCCATCGGAGGGATCCAGATGGTGCACTCCGTCACCTCCTCCATCACCTCCTCCGGCCCCTCCCCTGCGGGCCAGCAGGCGGCGCCGAAGAGCGCGTCCCGGCTCCTGCTGCAGACGAGCACATCGGACGACTCCAGCACCAACGAGGCCGCCTCCCCTCATCTCACCTCCTTCACCGAGAGGGAAGCCAGAGGAGGAGGAGGAGGCGAGAGGCCGAGGGAGCCGACCTCTCCTCGCCCCTCATCCCGGGACGGGGCGGCAGGAGGAGGAAGAGGAGGAGTGAGGCAGGAGCAGGAGGAGATCATCCACACCTGCACCAAGGCCATCGCCTCGCTCTGCATCGACTCGGAGGAGCTCGCCGAGCGAGGAGGAGGAGGAGGAGGAGGAGGAGGAGGAACTTCCTCTCCCTCAGCGGCGTCCCACGACCCCCAGCCCCCGCGGCGCTGGCCGTCCGCGTCCATGTCGCCCCCCTCTCCTCACCCGTCGCCGTCTCCCCCGCGGGCTCCCGGGGTTCAGCACTTTAGCGGCCTGGAGGTCAGGCCTCACCCCTCCTCCCCTCACCCTCCCTCCCCGTCTCCCTGCTCCTCCTCCCCGTCGGAAAGCCTCCAGCATCCGGCGGCGGCCAGACCGCCGAAGCCGGAGAGGGAGGGGGGGGCAGAAAGCACAAAGAGGAGCCGGGACGTGTCGTAGGGAGGAAGAGGAGCGATGGGTCTTTGGATGAGAAGAAGGGATGAAGTGCAGCGGAGAAACGCGACTTTTGCACACCTGGACACACACGCTGAGTTTACACAACTCTCAACACAAACACACTCAGAGACAAACAGACCTGCAATGTTTGTGTGCAGCACGCCTGCTCCTCTATTTAAGGACTCCGAGACTCTGGGTCCGTTTCCACGGTGACGCCGACGCGTCTCGACCTGGAAGGAGGCGGAACGTCAGCGAGCGTCTGACAGCTCCGTGTGTGCCTTTTATCTCTAAACAAAGCAGGAAGGTAAATGTAAATACAATACTATCACGTATCAGCTTTGTATTAACTGCCCCCCCCCCGTGTTTCCTTTCTTTTTGGACACCTTAAAGTCTCAACAAGCGATGTGAAGTTATGAATATTACGATTACGTACGGTTGCACTAAAACATATTTTTATATGAGTGACATTTTAAAAATGGCTTTTTTTGTGTACAGCAGCAATTCTATAATACTATTTATTATTGTTACCATGTTTCATAAATTGTACATTTTTCTTAAATGTTGTGGATGCCTTTTTCTATGTAAAGCATGAGGGGGGGGGGGTGCGAGGATATGTACACTGTAATATGGCTTTATATGTTAGACCTATTTATACGTCTGAGTGAGCCCCTTCTATCGGAGGTCTATACACATAGAAGTAAGATTTACCAGAATATTTCCCCCGCCATATGAGTACTTACTTTATATAGAATATCTCTCTCTATATCTATGTGCACCTAATATATAGGAGGACGTCACATGAGGGGACGCTAGATTGCTTGTACATTTTTCTCTGCTGCTCTGTCCCGGGTTCTGATTATATATATATATATGTATATATATATATATATATGTATATATACACGTATATATATATATATATATATATATATATATATATATATATATATATATATATATATATGTTCAACTCACTTTTCCGTGGTATTATTTCCCGTCTGAAGCACGGACTCGCTCTCAGCGCGTCGCCGGACGTTCTGCTCCATCCTTGTTGCTTTTGAGCCACACACAAACACAGACATACACACACAGACACACACAGACACACACACAGACACAGTCGTCCCTAACAGGAATATCGAGATCCCGATTATTTGGGGCGTCTTTGCTTGTGAACAACATTCCAGTGTAAATATATTCAGGAGACACATTTCTTTTGGCACATTATAAACCCAGCGGAACTCTTATTTATTGGCTTCATTTGTTGGGGGGGGACGCGATGACGAACGTGCACCAAACTCTCTGACTAATGCACCTTATATTTCCTTGTATTCTCCTCTGCTGTGGGACGTCCCGGCACTCTGATCCGCGGTTTCTGCTTTTGCAGCAAACGTTTAGGGGGAGAAACGCTTTGAGCTCTGAACCCCAAAACTGCCCTAAAACAACAACGGTCATCGTACATTTAACGCTCGAGGCATTGAGGCTTTTCTTCTGCACTGCTTATTTTTATTTTTATTTTTTCCCTCCTCCTCCTCCTCCTCTGCTGCACTTATTTAGCAATATTTAGCCTAAACAGGAGGTGTGTGCTTGTTGCAACAACTAGCGTTCTCATCCTGAACCGAAAAAGCTGAAAAGGAGGAGCAGGCGGAGCAGGTGGAGCAGGTGGAGGTCGAGGTGACAGGTTTGGGCGGAGTCGGGCAGGCTGCAATGTGAGTGTGTGTCTCTGTAGTGTGTATCGTGTATTGGAACCAGTATATCCTCTTCTTATGACTTTTTTCTATTGGGATCGTCCCTGGCTGTTATTCACACGTATCATGAGGACGACGATGTCTTTAAAATGTCCCTCTGCCTCTTTCAAAGATATCAAAGCACAAGTCATCCTATAGAAATGACAACGATACACGAAGAAAAAGGACAAAAAAAAGGTAACCGTGCATTTAAAGGGTAACTTTTGTGATGGTGTTCAGTGGAATTGGTTCATATGACATGTATCATATAACATGTATGACCTCGCAAAAAGGAATCGCAGTAGAAGTGGAAAAATGGATTGTTGTTTTCAAATAAATATGAATAGAATCATTTCTTTGTCTGCGCTCATTATTAAATATTATGTGTAAAACATATGTCCCTTTCAATATCACATGATTATTTATGTTACAATACTGTTCACTTTTACCCACAAATAGCAATAACGGACACAATAACGGCGCCACAGTAAAGTAGAAAGTAAAAGGACTAGAAGCAGTAATGACGGCTGTGATGCACCAGAACTCTCGTCAGAAACAGTCCAAAATAGTTAAGCTTTATTTATACATCTCTGTATTATTTGTACTAAATAACATGAGCAGTAGTTCTAGTAGTAGTAGTAGTAGTAGTAGTAGTAGTAGTAGTAGTAGTAGTTCTTCTATTAGTGATGCATTCCTTGAATGTGAGAAGTAAAGAAGCTGGTGAGGAGGCGCGTCAGCACCAGCACCACAGACTTTATTCTGAAGGGCCCAAAAATACACCCCATTGGTATTTTCTGCACATGAAATCCTAAAAGCATTTGGCAAGTCTTTCAAACGTCTTCATATTCTCACAATCTGTCTCATGCCCCCCCCCCCCCCCAGCTGTCAATCAAACATGTCCAGACTGACAGCTTAGTTGTCATTTTGTTCATTACTTCAAACATCTTCTGTCTTAATCTTATCAAATCTGTCATAGAATAAAAAACAGTGGCTGCGTTGTAAATCCTCTCGCTGACCTTTAGATGAGAGCAGCACACACTTTGGGCCCCGGAAGTGGGGGGTGGGGGGGCCTCCGTGGATCCATCCGGTGCGTCCCGGCGAGTGAGACGGGGGGGACGGGGACGGGGGGGACGGGGAGGGCTCCCGTCCTCGTGCTGACAGTTTGAATTCAAACACTAAAAGCTGTTTGAAGGAGGTCAGCTGACAGAACGCCGTCCCCGTCATCACGCATGTCCCACATACGTCTACCTGTCTCATCGCTCGGCCTGTTTTGTCTTTTGTTGACGCAACTGGGTTGGTGTCGACTTACATGTCTTCCGTCCCGTCTGTCCTCGCGTCTTTGGCCTTTGAGGGAAGATGATCAAGCGAGTTATTCTGGTCCTGATTAGTTTGATCGCTGCTTTGTGAGGTGTGAGCTTCATATGGAGCCGTCCCCCGGGACTCGTTTCTGTGTGTGCATGTGTGTGTGTGTGTGTGTGTGTGCATGTGTGTGTGCGTGAGTGTGTGCGTCTCGCTGGCTTTGTGTCTCTATCTGACGGTGTGTCGGATGCATGTGCATAAAATTGTTGAATTATCCAGACAAATTGTACCTGAATGTTTTGCACAAACAAGGTTCTAAACTGGTGAGTTAATCAATGAGTGTTAGTGTTTTATTCTTAACTCTTGCAACAGTCAAAGGCGTCATGAAGGGTTTTGACCCAATTTTTCGCTGTACAAAAAAACAAAATATCCCAAAAAATGAAATCCCAATTCCATCTTTTTCTCTAAATAATGCTGAAGTGTTTTTTAATTCCATTGTTTTTCAAAAGGAGGCTAAATATTCCGGTGTGGTGTAAGAAGTCTCCTCTCGGGCCCACTAAAGGACATTTTACTGTGCAAAATGAAAACTATTAACTAATAAACCACCATTTTGTTGCATGCCATCGGGTGTAGTCATCTATCAACTTTATAGAAATGATCATGTGTCGGTTGATGAGTGATGTCACACTCTTTGTTTAATTGCTTTGACTTATTTATGCATTTTTTGAAACTCGCATTATGGCCACCGCGCCGCCGGGACCCTGAGCCAGAGAAGTGCACCCTGGGAAAAGCCCTCATTTCTGGTTGTGTGTCACCCAAATCAGCTTGTTGTACCTAGTGGTGAGGCTGTGTGCGTGTGCATGTGTGTGTGTGTGTGTGTGTGTTAAAGGGAATACCGCGTTTAGCTGTAATTAAGTGCAAAGATGTTTCTGCTGCTGCCGGTCATCTAGAAAACTCAAACAGGAAGTTCAGAATTCACCTATGAGATTTTAGCCAACGCATTCTTCTTGATTTGAGTTCATCATTTTAAAGTAAAACTTCCTCTTGAGGCCATTAATGTCCTGAACTGCTGTTCTGGGTTCTAGGTGGCCTGACTCCTCAAATAAACAAACTCCAAACTAACTGTGGTTCATTCTGCGTTTGGTCTCACAGGCATTCAGATTATTACTCACAGAGTTGAGTCAGCTGCTCTCTCTGGACACACGCAACACATGAAAGGTCTCTGCGATGTGGCTGAGCTGAAGCTCTTTGATCGTTGCCTGGAGGGAAAGAGCAGCCACACACGGAGCGCCGGGGAACCACGGACCTGATTCCAGAAGAGCAACTCCACTCCAGAGAATCACAGCTGCTGCGTGTGTTTCAATGGAAACGGACTCTCTGAAGCGTATTGTTCGTCCTACTTAGCAACCGTAACCATGGAGCGCGGAGGAGAGACTCGACAAAAGGTCAAATTGGCCTGAAAGTGGTTTAAGTCTGAAACAAGCTCGAGTCCACTTCCTGCTGCACAGAAAATTCTCTGTCCCGATAAAAATGTCTGAACAGGAATGCACAGCCATGGGAGGTCTGTGTGTGTGTGTGTGTGTGTGTGTGTGTGTGTGTGTGTGTGTGTGTGTGTGTGTGTGTGTGTGTGTGTCACCAAGGCATCTGTTCATTGGAACAAACAAGTTTCCATTTTTAGCTGTTAGGAAAAAAACAGTAGAATTAGCAGAAACATCTATCCGTGTGTGTGTGTGTGTGTGTGTGTGTGTGTGCGTGTGTCTGTGTGTGTTTGTGCAGGTGTGTGTGTGTGACAGCTCACTTAGTGTAGTTTCGGTTGGGATGGAGATGCCAGCGACACTAAAATGGATTATTTTTAGTCTTTAAAGAGGAGAAGAGGTGAAATGAACCGAGACGAACGAGACTAAATTGTCTCTGAATTAACCGAAGTGCGGAGAAGAGAAAGCAGAGGTCAGAGGTCAAGATGAGAGACAAGAAAGGAATCAACACCCTGAAATCTTCAAAAAGGAAAGAGGAGGTGAAGGGAGGGCAGGAGATGGAGGAGAACATTGAACGTACTCGTGGTTTGTAGAGAGGAATGTATATTTATATATTCATGTAAATATACGTAAAGGAAACGGTGAAGGACAAGAGAGACATTTAAAGAAAAGACAATTGGAGATATTCTTTATCACAAACTAATATATAATATATAAAACAAAACAGGAGCAGGAGACGAGATGAAGGAAGATAAGAAGGAGAAAAGAGGGAGGACATAGGACAAGACGAGGAGGAGACAAAGGGAGGAGAGGAAACGATAAAGTAAATTAACAAAGAGGAAAAGAATAGAAGAGGATAAGAGACCAGAAATGAGATAAGATGAAGAAAGGTTAGCAGACAAGGAGTGGAAACAGAAGACAATTGAGGACAGGTTGGAGGACAATGAAGATGCTTCTTTTTAAATGAACAAGATAATGAAGACCAGAAACATCCCAAAACGAAAGAAGAAGAGTGGAGACGGGAAAGGATCAGGAGAGAGAGGCGGAGGTGAGGCAAGAGAAGACGTCCATCAAAGAGGCAAAGGAGGACGGATGGACGGATGGACGGATGGACGGATGGAAACCCTTCTTCTCACGAAGGACACACGGGTAGGAAAAGGAGAGGAGAATTGTTCTTGCGGTTCTATAGTCTACAGACCGGGAAGAAGAGCAGCCGATGGGACGCGGTTACACTCCGCCACCTGTCGGCAGGTGGAGGTACTGCACACACGATGGAGGAGAAATGGAAAATGTTGTTTTCCTGCAGGAAACTGCAGGAAACTGCAGGAAAACAACAGGGAGACCCGTTCATTCAAAAAAAAAATCATCAAAATCATTCAAATAAAGGTCGTAATTAATCTCTGAATGTACTAAACGTAAAGGTTCGATCAACACAAGTCAGCTTGTATCCAAGTGCTTTTGTTCCCTCAGACTGTTTGTGGTTTAGTGGCTTCAACCGACGGAGCTGTTGTATCAAACGTTGATCCAAGGAAGAAGATGACCAAAGCTTCATCGCCCTCTGCTCCCGGTGAGCGTCGAGGACCTCGCGTCCCAGCCGGTGTCTCTCTGCTGATGGTGCAGACCTCCTGTGGGACGGCTTGGCTGTGAACACACTTCTCGCTGACTACGCAGCTCGTTTTTTTCTAACCAGTGTCGCTGAAAATAATCTGCTGAGATCTTCTCCACCGACAGTTTGGATGAAACGCAGCGTGTGAATGTGTGAACCTTTTGGAAGCGCGTTTTTGGGGTCAGATGTTGGAGGTCGGAGCCACTAGTTTGCAGCATTTGCAACGTTTCCTCTTTGTGAATAATTCACTAAAATACAGAGATGACACATAGTCAGTCGTCCAACAGCAGCAATGATCCTAAATGGACCCAACAGCATCCCCACTGCCCGTTTTGTCCCCTTCATCAGGAAGCTTTCCTCTCCACCTGGGCGTCCCCGGCGACCACGTTGGCGGCGTCCCAATCGTCCAGACGGTTCATCACAGCCGAGGTGGACGCTGCCAGTCCAACGGGACGGCCAGAAGACACGCTGTCTTCTCTCTGCAGAGAACACAGAGGTCCGGTGCTATTCATAGCCGCGGCAGCATATGGCCGCTGCGCGTTTGCTTCTAGAGGAAGGTGGAAAGTTCACAACGTGGTTGTTTTGAGCTGTTCTTTGTGCGCTTTGCTTTGTGTGTACTTACAGGCGGCGGCGTGGAGAGCCGCCGCTCAGTGCAGAGATGACGAGAGCATGACGAGACGATTCCATCGGCGTGTGACACGCTGATGAATGGGGTCACTATCAAATGCATCCAAAATACCCACATTCCTTTATAGAGCCCATCTTCAGCTCTTCATCGCTCTCCTTGGTCACATTGTGTGTGTGTGAACATTTGATCCAAACGGTGGAGTCCAAGTCCTCCATCGTCCTCTTTGTCCTCCATCGTCCTCTTCGTCCTCCTTCAGTGGGCGTCCTGGATGTGTTCGCTCGTGATTTATTAGGCGACGATAAACACGCAGAGCTGGTGTTTCTTCTAATGCCACGGACATTTTACCCACAATGCCTTGCTGGCTGTGAACTCCTGGATGTGGAGAATATTTTAAATTACACACACACACGAATACACACACACAGACTATAAAGCAGTAACCTGTTTATGATCCAACACGCCAACATGCCCTTTCTCATAGACGTGGATTGATGGCCTTCCTGCGTGTGTGTACGTGTGTGTGTGTGTGTGTATGCGTGTGTGTGTCTATGTGTGTGTGTGTGTGTGTGTGTGCGTGTGTATGTATGTGTGTGTGTGCGTGTGTGTGTGTGTGTTTGCACGTGCGCGTGTGTGTGTATGCGTGCGTGTGTGTGTGTTTGCACGTGCGCGTGTGTGTGTGTGTGTGTGTATGCGTGTGCTTGTGTGTGTATGTGTGTGTGTGTATGCACGCGTGTGTGTGTGTTTGCACGTGCGTGTGTGTGTGTGTGTAGGTTGGGGGGGTGTCAGGGAAGATTTATTGTACTCTGCAATATTAAGAGAAGAATGAACATCATCAATAACCACCAGCACACAAAGTGCACATAGTTGTGTGTTCATACTGTACATCACACACACACACACACACACACACACACACAATATACACTCGGGAACAGGCTCTTCCTACACACACACACACACACACACACACACACACACTTGTGAGCCATAAGCCAGGGCTCATGGAGAGTCTGTGACAGGAGTGATAACTCTGCCCTGTGTGTGTGTGTGTGTGTGTGTGTGTGTGTGTGTGTGTGTGTGTGTGTGCGCGTGTGTGTGCGTTAAATTGAAAGGGGCGTATTGAATCTTTTTTGGGGACCCCCCCACACGGACTGACTTTGTTAATGTAAATATTAAAAACTCGTCAAGGTGCCACGGGGAGGAGGAGTCACGGAGAGGAGGGGCCACGGGAGGAGGAGCCACGGGAGGAGGAGCCACGGGGAGGAGGGGCCACGGGAGGAGGAGGGGGAGGGGCCTTGACCAAGTTGATCCCTCAGAAACATAAACCCGTCCATCTTTGAAGAGTTGCAGAGGATCCTTTTCGTAGTTGTTGCAGGGATTCTGATAGTAAAACAATCAATAATGAATGAACTAATTACTCATTTCTATTTAAAACATGGATGGTTGATTCTCTTTTGGTGAATTCAAATCGTTTGATCAGGGAGGAAAAAGTGGAGAATTCTAATAAAAGTGAAGCTGCGACTGGAGGCAGGAAGGTGGCATTTATAAACTGTGTGACGCACAACGCCGACTCCTGTGTGTGTGTTTTATTTATAGTTGCGATTGGCGTCATCAGCTCAGGACAACACACTGCTGTTTCAGAGTCACGCTGTGATGCAACATGTCAACCATCAGCATGCGTCATGGCCGAGACCCAACTGCACACGAGCTGTCAAACCGTGTGTGTGTGTGTGTGTGTGTGTTTGGCTGTTAATTCGCATTGTGAACAAAGCTCTTCTAATATCAGTTGCAAACCAATTGTGTAATTGTGTTTTATTTTGTATCCATTCATTCCATTAATTGTATTTAACTTGTATATAAATGTATTTATCCATGAAATAGTTACTAGCAGGTAAAATGGTGAATGTAGAATATTTCCCCTCTAAAGCTTCGGAGCATTAGAAACCTTCCAGCAGTAAGAGAAGCGAACCAGCTGCCAGAACATCTGTCTCCTCGTTCATGCAGATCTCTTCTTCTCTCTCGGCTGATGCCAGAAGCCAAATGGCTCGTCTCCGTTTTCTCTGCATCAAAGTGTCGCTGCAGGAACTCCTCCGAATGCCAAACCGCCCAAGAAGAGAGAGGCCGGTGAAACTGCCACAAGGAGCCGATCCCAAAGGTCTTCTTCTGCTCTGCTGCAATTATGACTTGACAAAACGCCCCAGAGGAGCTTGAGGGAAGGCGCTCGGTCGCGTTGTTTAACCCGGTTGGTAAGAAGTTTGTTGGTTTTAACGGAGCTTCCTGGAAATGGGCTCAGAGGGAAAAGCGTCCAACGGGACTTTGGTCCTTCTGTCACAGACGAAGGTTGGACCTTAAACAGGAGGCTGCATGGACTCCCGTGTCTTCACGGACATCCTCCTGGTCTCCCTTCTCTTCCTGACGGAGTAAACTCCTTCAACACAAACACATTATTCCATGTCAATCCCTTTATGAATCACTTTGTTCGATTTTGGTCACTGTTAACACCTTGAGCAGAGGAAAGGTCAAAGGTTAAGATGCAACCTTGAAGGCTTAGAAATAAGCTACGTTCACAGTTTCTCACAAGTTGCATTTTATTTAATGATTACAGCATCTTTCAGGTATTTTCTCCTTTAGAAAGAAACAAAGTCAAATATTGTACAGCAAAGAAAGATATAAAACATACAGAGGCACACATGAGGTCATTCTCTCCTCTCATACAAAAATAAAACTACCAAAACGCCCCCAAAGTCTTCCTCCTCGTCTTCGTTGATTCTCTTCTGAACTTCTCCGGTTCAGTAAAACGAAAACAGCGGTGCAAATTAAATGTTGAATATCCTCGTTGATCCGATGTTCTCAGCTGAACATTGCACCACATGGGAGCTCGGTTCGGGTCCAGAACTCCTCCTGGTGCCCGGAGACGATGCCTTTAGGCTCCTGTGGGTTTATTCAGCCTCGGTGGACAGCCGGCGCCTCCTGGTGGCCGTCTGGTGGCTATGCGCTGTGCACTGCGCTTAGCGGACTGCCGGACGCTGCAAGAACACAACGTTAGACACTGGAGCCGAGGGGGGCTGTGTGAGTGTGTGTCTGTGGGGGGGGGTGGGGGTCACCTGGGAGCAGCGGCGCTGTCTTGATGCGGCTCTCCTCCAGCGTTAAGAAGCAGCGGCTCTCTGCCGAAGACGTGTCGATGTCACAGGTCAGAACGGTGATGGGACCCCGCCCCCCCTTCAGGTGGACCTGGATGTTATCCTGCATGACACACACACACACACACACAATATTTCAAGGTATTTCCAGCAAAAGAAACCTCTATTAAATGTGTGATCAAAAGAATGGAATCAAACCAAGCAAATCTTTATCATTCCCTTGTGTGTGTGTGTGTGTGTGTGTGTGTGTGTGTGTGTGTGTGTGTGTGTGTGTGTGTGTGTGTGTGTGCGCTAGTCTCACCTCTTTGGGCGGAGGAACCTCCAGCTTGGTTTCCTCCGGCGCTTTGACCACGAGCACCGTCTGCTCCCGGAAGGCGGCGAGGCGGCCGACGTCCTCGTAGGTCACGTAGGCCGCCGTGCAGGAGGAGGACGTTAAAGAAAACCTGCTGTGAGAGTTGTATTCAAAAGGCCTTCTGGGCTCAAGTAGTCGATGACATCATTGTTCCTCTTCTTCTGTCTTGGAGCGCATTGTGACATCATTAAAACACACCGACATTGCTGGACATGAGGAAGAGGATGGATCTTTCCTATTTATACTGCCAATAACTGTTTAGGCCACATGGGGGCAGCAACACATCGACATATTATCGGCTTCTACGCTTTCTAGCTGATATGTTTCCTGCTGTGACATCCAGCAGCAGATGATTCATTGGAGGTGAACATGATGAACCTGCTGACCCAACGTTCTCTTTCTTCTTGGCCTCCGGCAGCTACATATCCGTCTACACGGGTGGAAATGGATCCCGAAGGAAGCCCGCTCCCCTGAACCCGTCCGGGTGAAAGGATATTCGGCGTTTTGCTCGTCGTCGGTCATGTCGAAGAGCTGCTGGGCGCAGCTCTTGATGAGCGTGTCCAGCGTGTCCTCCACCAGCTTCAGGTTGTCCAGCTCTCGCTGGAACTTCTGCTGGTGGATCTTCAGGAAGCTGGAGATCTGACAGCTGCCTCTGCAACGAGTCACAGGCCACCAGCTGTTTACACTCAATGCTTCGGTATCGTGTCTACTGTACAATATGCAGAGGATAACTAATGTATCGTAACAGACATTCTCATAATCACTCACATCCACTTGAACTTGTTGGCAGACTTCTTCTTGATGAGGCTGATTCCCTCCAGCACGTTGGTGATGTCATAGACTCGGCGCCGGCGGGTCTGCAGCACGGCGGTGACGTGCCGGAGGTCCACGGAGCCGTCCGGAGACGCCAGCAGCAGCTCCAGGAAACGCTGCGTAAGCATCCACAGCGACACATCTGGATCGCCACGAGAAAAACACAGTTACAGCTGGAAGACGAGCTCACACAGAGAAGAAATAAAAGAGAATAAACGTAGAAAGGAAGAGATTAAAGGACAGCAGCACGCACCAATCCTCTTGCTTTGGATCTTCTTCTCAAAAACATTTACGCTGGAAGAAAAAAGACATTACAAAACTATATGTGATCGCAGCCTTTTAAACGGATACAACTAGAAGATATCGAATGATCCATAATAAAAGCTAATAAGCGAGTGTGAAATGGGAGGTTCTTTACCCGGCTGTAGCTGCTCCTGAGGTCGGCTTGTCGGCTGGATTCTGACACTCAGGAGGTGAAACCGAAGGTCGAAGCGTCTCCGGTTGCCACTAAAGAAAGTGGGAAGTCTAATTATTTACCAAAATGAAAAGGACCAAATTCTGAATTGTAAAATAAAAATGGTCACAGGCCTGTTTGATGAAGCCACACATTAAGGTAGTCATTAAGTAATGAGAACAAGACGTTTGGTGGCATTTTAACTTCCTCTTTGGAGTTGTTGAAGCTCATCGTTGTTGGATATTTGGATAAATCCAAAGAAAAGTACTTTTTACTCAACTCCACACTTAATTAAATAAAGTAGTTCAGAGCGCACGCTTGAATGATACGTGTGAATCATAATCATTTTCTTTAATAAGCCCAATAAACCACGCCTGTGATTAAATTAACTTCCCCATACCTGCAGTGGAGGCTCCGCTATAACAGGAGCAGCAACTCCACCTTCATCACAGTCATCATCATCATCATCATCATCGGCGTCGTCATAGCCGCCGCCGGGGGCCCACCGATCCTCCTCCTCGTCCTCCGACGACTGGGGCCCCCAGGGGCTGATCAGGCCCATGGGCCCGTCCAGGCAGGGGGGCATGATGGGGATGGCGTCGCTGTTGATGCCGGCGGACGAGATGTCCTCCGGCAGGAAGTGGTCCTCGCAGATCCAGTGCTGCTCGGTCGAGTCCTGCTTGTCCGTCTCCCTCAGAGCCGCCAGCCACACCTGAACACAACACGAGGTCATCGGGTGAAGACCAGAGAGTTTCTAACAGACCGCAAGCGATGAGGGATGAGGTATGAAGCTTCCAACGGGGTCCAACGAGTCCAACGGGGAGAAGATGTGTGTATTTTATTTTCCTGCTGCTGTTCAATAAAAGTTCAATACTAAAGATGGGATGTCATTTTGGGACACTGACGTGAGGACAGTGGTGTGGAACGTCCTGGCTGAATGTGCCGTCAAAGGATGGAGAGCTGCGAGTTCAACATGTTCCTCCTCCAAGATGATCACATGTGCTGTGTTGTGTTTAAAATACACGCTTTAAGTGATTACTCATTAGTCGTAACAATTAGTCTATTGATGTCTATTAGTCTATTGATGTGTGTATATATATATATACGACGTCACACCGGTAACGTTTATCGGCCTGTGACGTCACACTAGCGATGTGTTTGGTGGTTGACTCACAGGTAAGTTTACCTCTAGCTAGCCAATACAGTGTGTTAGCATTAAGCTAACGTTAGCCAGAAGAAAGATGGGTGAATAAGAAGAATGGGCGTCTTTCACTCAAGTGACGTGACGTCGCGTTGAACAACGTCTCGTATCTTTGGTTAAAGTCGCACCTTGACCCTCGCTGTGTCTCCCGGGAAGGAGAAGAACCGTTTCTGTGTCCGGTTGGAGATCCCGCGGTTGACGGAGGTCACGCGGCTCTGACACCCGGAGACGACACACTTCACCATGGTAACGCCGACGGTTACTCCGCCACCTGAACCGAACCGAGCCAATCCGTGCTAACGGTGCATCCCTCCGCCCACCACTCCCGTGAACAACTGCCAACAAAACAAGCCGCCACGACGCGACGTCCCGGTTTGTTTACGTCGTGTTTCGCTGTTGTTTTACACAACCGGAAAGGGATTGTCTGTGACCCGGAAGTAAAACACAGGAGGGAAATATAGCAGAGCGCGTCAATTCAGCGCCCTCTACTGTCGGGGAAGCGTTATTACACCTGTTAATGATATCAATATTAACTGTTTCCTTTTATTTATCTCGATCAGGTTTTAGTTGACTTTCAAACTATTTGAAATAATAACAGCTGCCTCAAAGGAATTAAAATAGACAAGAATGTGATAAAATTAAAGCATGCAATCCTAAATACCAGCTTCCGATTCAGAAGAAAGAAGGGGTCGTAATCAGTGTCGCAACACAAGATTTATTCAGAGCAAGAGATGCCAACACCAGCATGATAAAAATTGTACAAACTTCACAAGTCAACTTAAAATATCACGTTGCGTATCTCGTGACCTTAAACATACAGGTAAAATATCAACAAAAACCCATGCCATGTGATCAGAAAACTGCTGTTGAAAGGTAGCGAGTAGCACAGAAAAAAAGGGGTAAAAAGAGAGGAAATGAATGTTGTATAAAAACCCCTCATCAATGCACCGCTGAAAACAAACAAACATTTTCATAAACGTATGACTTCACAAATATTCATATGGGTTTCTTTTTGCATTCTAGCATGTCACATGTTAGTGTTGAAATTCTCTATGTAAATAGTTACAGTTTAGCTTTTACATCTGATATTACATCATCTAGTCTATTGACTGTCTTTAAGTGGCAGAATTGTGCTTTAACTCCCATTTCCTTTGTTATCAGTTAGAATAACTGACTCAATAAAAATACAAGCTGTCAGTCTATCTAATGCAGTAGTTTACTGGCAGGAAGCTGCAGACACGAAGCTTTGGACGGAGATGTGAAGAATGAGTCCAAAGAAGAGGCATCTTTGAAGGAAAACTCCCCCCGCTGAATGTTTCCAACTGTTCAAACTGGACTGAGCAGAGAAATGTTCCAGAAACAGTCACCACTTACATGCTAGGAAGTTAAAGATTGAGAACTCTTGATTTTTCCCCTTAAATGTCTTTTTAGAATTACAAAAATACTTCAGACACACTACAAAGTGAGAGAACGTGTGTGACTCCTGATTCACAGTCTGGGGCTGTGTCTTCAATTCCAGGATCAAATAAATGAAGAAAGGGATCAAATGTTTTCACAGTCATTTAGAATACATGTGTACATATATATATATTACCCAATTCATACACTATTGCCCCCGAATTAAAAGAATAATCTCTAGTCTCCACCCATCGTTAACGACAAATTTTAGTCTGATTGGTTGCATCTCCTTGCAATGCACCTTGGGAGTTGCTGTTTTCCTGTTATAATGGAGGCTTCGGTGGGGCAGAACTGAGGGGGCCGCGCGGGGGAGTCTTCCTTCAAACAGTGAACAGGTCTCCGTCTCCACAAACTCGCTGTACACGCTTCGTTTAGCACGTGATAATACTTTGACATACTCCCATAAAGTGCATGCATGATCGACGGCGTTCCACCAGCACTGCGAACCACTCGCTCAGTTCAGTGCCTCACCTTTTTAACTCCTCTTTTTTTTTTTTAGACCAACAATCAACGACCGTTAAAGAAAAAAGTGCTGCTTGGTCACCGTGGCGCCCGCGTCCCGCCGGGGCGCGTGATTGGAAAGACGTTTTTCTACAGAACGAGTGCAATATACAATGACGGATGGGGGACGTTTGACCCTGTAAGTTCCAGCGGAGCCGTCGGCCTTTTCAGAAAGAAAGAAAGAAATCGCATCTACGAAGCCTTTCGCCCCCCAGGTGCGTCTCAACGGGAAAAACATCAAAACATGGAAACCAAGGTGTCCAACATGACGCAACCGAAGGCCTTTCACTCCTAGAACGTGATTGTAGTAAAAGGTTTGTACAAAACGCAATACATTTATATTTAGTAAAAAGATCTATCCGCTCTCTGCTAGTTTTATTCATAAGAAATTGCATATACCCAAACGTTGTTTTTCTCCACGTAGATTGCATCCCATATCCAAACAAAAGGATTTAAGATTATCATACCAATATTGCTGACACGTTGTCCTAATAGCTACGCTTCAAGGTCGATGATTAAAAGAAACGGGGAATGGCAGATTGTCTCCCACGTTTTTTTCTGTGGCCGTTCGTCTTTTTTCGCACCAACGAAGAAGAGTGACAGGAACAGGACAGGGAGGAACAAACGACGGGACGTTTTGTTTCCGTGTGGTGACGTTTGAGAGTCCGCTTCCAAGATGAACCAATGACTTAATGAAACCGCCTGCGTCTCTGCAGCTGGTGAGAAAAGCTTTGTTGAATGATCGCTCTTCCGGTCCCCCCCCCCCCCCCCCACAGCTCCAAGTTTAATCCCAGTTTAATCAGGTAATGATTCAAGCTCACAATAAATAAATACATACATTACACTGGAATGTGCATCAGCAGCTATAAACAGTACATCACATTATTTTAGGTCATATGAAAATGTACAAAACGTGAATGTTCGTTTAAAACGTCGGTAATTGTTTTTGAAAGCAAGGCAACGACAATGAAAATAATTTAAAAAAGAGATACCAATGGAGTCGAGAGCATAACAGCAGAAGAATTAAACGAACGACGGCCGATCGCAGCAGCAAAAAACAACCCGTTCCTCCTTTTTGACCTTTTTTTTCCCCGTTGTTTTTGCTCTGCATCGGTTCTAAACCTGGATCCCCTGAACGGCCTGTTTGATGTTCTCCAGCAGCGCCTTGTTCTCCGGGCTCTGGTACTGGTCCTGGTGGGTGTACATGTCGGTCAGCGTACTCACATACGTGTCAAAGTTCTGTTCATTCATCGGCTCCTGAGAGAGGAAAGACACCCACGAGACAGACGGGTTAGACTTTGACTTCCTCCACAGTCACCATGTTTTCTCTCTGGGAGCATTGTGGAAGGAAGGGGGGAGGAGGGGGGCGCAGCCAGGGAGGAAGGGCACCCCAGCAGGGAGACATATTCCTTATTTAATAACGATTATTATCCGTACTTCAGCCTGGGAAGCTCGACGCCGCTCCAAACCATGCAAACGTAGGAATGATCAGCTGGAGGATGGATGGACGCTTAATGTTTAGCACATGGAGACAAAAGTAGGATGTTGGAAGCAAAGGGGGGGGGGGGGGGGGGTCACGGTCAGAGGGGGGGGGGGGGGTCACAACTAGGTAGAGTTCAGTGAGTTATAATAAAGACGGCTTTGGTTTTCCAGGGTGTTTTTCTTTGGTGGGGTTTGGGGGGGTTTTTTGAGGGGCCCGTTTTCTTTTTTTTGGCCAAAAAGATTTTTTTTGGTCTTTTAAAAAACAGGAAGGGGGGGCCGGGGCTCCCCCTTTGGAAGGGGGGGGGGGGGGGGGGGGGGGGTGTGATGACGGTGCAGAAGAGAAGGATAATTGGATAAAGGAGAAATGGGTGTCTTACTCTGGGAGGCATCTGTACACAGCAGCTATGCTTTACTGGGGCCTCTTTCTGTGCTGCAGGTTTCTACAGGAGAGGGTGTACAGAGAAGTCTATTAGGGCTCCTGAGGCTACACAACACACGCACACACACACACACACACACACACACACACGCCACGTCCGCCTCAGCAGGCCGCTCCGTTCACACTGCAGAGCAAATCCTCACAGAAGGTTTTATTCTGATGAATCAGAATAAACGAGAGTAAACAAACAAAAAGGGACGCGACATCTTTTTGTGATATTTTACACTCGATATTAGTAATTTACTATTATTACTACTAATATTGGGTGTAAATGACATCCTACACACATGAACATTTGCTGCAGTGTGACGGGAGCCTTTACGAGAGAGAGCTTATCCAATTAGCCTTAGTCTTCTCTCTACAGCGAGACAACATGGCGCTCAGAGCGAGCAGGAGGCGGAGCCTCTCGTTTGTGTGAAGAAGAAGAAGAAGAGGAAGAAGAAGAAGAAGCACAGCATGGACTGCTGGGGAAAAATATGGTGATAAACTGAAAGAAGCAGATGAGTAAAGAAAAAAAAACCTCTTTTTACTTTCCCACAGACAGTTGAGTATTTATAATAAATAAAGCGGGAAACACATTTAGCACATTAAATATGAAACAGCTGATCTGAACTCCCTCGGACAAATTGGCAAAGTGAAATGAATTTTTCATTTCAAGTTATAAATTCGGTAAAGATCGTATTAGTATTCATTAAAAAAGAATTCTGTCGAGATACAAAAATCATCTCAATGATTCGGATTAGAAGTGGATCTTATTTCACTGGCAGTTTATCCACTAATGGAACAAAATGTCGCTCTGGTGAATCAGCACTTCTCTGTACGTTTGAATTAACGGCGCCTTCAACCGATCGTGTTATTATTTACGACTAGTTAATCGCCCAATTAAACTCAAAACGGCCTCGATTTAGATTTCAGTTCTTCCTCTTGTGGGTTTCTTTGTATTCGTTTACCTGCCAGTTTGAACCTTGAGGTCATGTGACTGGATGTCCTTCTATCTTAAGCTACCGGCCGTGGGGGGGCCATGCGGAGGGCCATGTTGGGGGGTCGCTCACCATGTGTGGAAGCTGGATGTTGGCCAAGCTGTTGATGAGCGACTGGCTGAGGTTCGCCAGCTCGTGCAGCAGCGAGTCGTTCTGCTGCTCGATCACCTTGTTCTCCTCCTCAATGGACTTCAGGTTGGTCTCCATGGTGGTGATCTGCTGGGACCAGGGAAGCCATTAGAGGCATCTGAGGCCTTTCTATCGGGGGTCTTTTAAATCCCTTTTCCTGATCACTTCCTGCTGATGTTTCAGATTAAAAGCATAACGAGCGATAAGGCCCCCTGACCAATCAGAACGCACGTTACTGCTGCGCTGTACGTTGATGCGGACGTACTTATGAGTCCACCGTCAGAGACACGCCCAGCATGTCAAACTAAACACCTGATTGGTTGAACACTATGACAACAATATGCTCCCCATAGACTTTAATGTGCAAGTCGACCTGGAGCGCAACAACCCTCATAAGTTGTACTTAAAGTATCTGTACTTGGTTTTAGAAGCCGCCTTACTTGTGTCCTCAGTTTGATCATGTCGGACTCCACTTGAGTGTTGGACTCGTTCAGATCTTTGATTTCCTCGTCCAGCTGTTTGATTTCTTCATCGTTTTCGATGCCTGAAAGAACATTTGATTAAGTTCGGGGCAGCTTTTCTTTTCTTCTTCTGTGGTTCGGGGTCAGGGGTTCGTCTGACCTTTGCTCGCCCTCTGCTTGATTGTCAGCATTTCCACGCCACTCATCCTGGCCTTCTTCATGGCCGAGGTGGCCCGGGGACACCCGGAGAGGCTGGAATCAAACACACGCATTGACGAAAGCTTGCCCGCGATCGTAATAATCATCAATCTGCTGATAGCTGCTTCTTTTTATTTCACGTAAACAAACAAAAGGGAAATCGTTGCACATTATGTGTGTACATGTACGTGCAGATACGGTTGAAACAGAATGACACAGAGCCACGCCCACCTCCGGTGGGTCAGGAAGCTCCCGCTGACGTGTCCCGAGCCGTCGCAGCCCGGCGTCGGGCAGCTCATTCCGTCCGTCTTGCCGGACTTCCAGACGAACTGCGAGCCGTTGACGTAGTTGTCCTTCTGCCGCTTCGCCGCCAGGGGGCAGCCCGACGCGCTGCGGTGGGAGGCGTACTTCCCCGTCACGTGACCCTGTCCGTCACAGCCCGGCACCGGACACCTGGGGAAACGGGGCGGGGGGGGGGGGGGACCACTGATATTGCTGATTGGACTGTAAACAATCGAAATGAATTATCGAGTAAATCGCCCTCAGACATCGAGATGACTAATTATCATTCCATTTGATTTCTGCAGGTCGTAAACCGTTAAGATTTCTAGACTTATGCCGAAGAATATCAGTCAAACTTAAAGTCCTGTCATTTTTTTCTTCATTCAATTGAATTCTGGCTCTTTTTCCCAGACAGCAACCTCCAGTTCTGCTGACTGATCCAGAGCGCAATGTGCTGAAGCTGCATTCTGTGTAGTGACCAGCAGGGGGCGACTCCTCCGGTCCCATAGACGTCTATGAGAAAATGACTCTACTTCACTCAGTAAACATTGTAAACATGAGTTTATGGTCTCAGTCTCCAGTTTCAAGTCTTCTTCAATACAGCATGATGTTCAATTAGTGAATTATGGTCCATGTGGAGTCAAACAAACCATAAAGCAGGGGATGCTTTAGGGCGGGGCTACACGCTGATTGACAGGTCTCTACCAGAGACGTAAACTGTATCTCTGCGTCACGCTTGTTCGGTCCAGATATGGTCACTTCCTGTTCACCAGTTGAAAAAAACCCAACGTGGCGGCAGCCAAATTCCCAAATCCAATCCACCCAACCGTCAGTCCCCAAACCAATGAGTGACATCACGATGACTACGTCAGCTTCTTATGAAAATCAATGCATATAAAAAAAACTTTAAAAACAATTTAATATGTCAGATTTTATTTTTGACCTCTTTATTTTACCCATTCAGGGCATAAGGAGCCCCTCCGGGTTTCGGGCACTTGAGGGACAAAGCGCTGCGAGTCGTCGTCGTCGTTGTTGAGCCACGCTGACGCCTCTCGCTCTGCTGATGACCCCCCCCCCCCCGTCCTAAAAGCCGTTGGCTTTGACATTTGCGCTTATTAGGATGAGCCGAGCGTCCCCAGCCGGCCTCGGCTCTGCTCTCTAATTGGGATTCCTTAACGAGGGCGGCGGAGGTGACGGCAGCAGCTGTGGACCCACACCAGCTGAACTCATCATGCTCAAGGTCGCCTTTAAGGGAAAGGTCACGCTAACCTTTGGTGCTCCAGAGGGGGGGTGTAGGACTGACCACCGCTCTTCTCTCAAATATAAAGTTGGAAAGGTCAGCGCATTTGAATAGACAGTCAAACAGACCATGAAGATTGCGGTGCTTTAGGGCGGGGCTACGCGCTGATTGACAGGTCTGCTTTATATGTATATATGCAACATGCAGAAAGGATTCAGTCCCGTGTTCACTTTGTCATTAAGAGGCTTTAGCTTGAAGCTCAACCAATCACTCTGTGCAGAGCGGAAACATGTGTTAATGAGAGATCTTTTTCCTCTTCCTCTTCTTACCTTTCACAATAAAAGCAGGAAACACTTGCAGTATTTGTTTTGGTTATAGATGTTTTTTATTCTTTTTATTTACTGTTTGGTAAAATATCTGTTAATACTAACTTCTTAAATGTCTCCTCATTCGTCCTGGCGTTGGACTGACATGTTGCAGGTGGAGCTGAACACTGACTGGATGAGATGGAGATCTGTGGTCCATGAGGTGGAGGTGAGGACGTAGTTCAGTAAAAACCTCTAATTAGAGGGTGAGACTGGTCATAATCCCGCTCATTTCAGAGCCGTACAGAGGCCTTACTTGATTGGCTCCTGGTCGTCCTTGTCCTCTTTGCTGTGGAGGATCTTGATGCCGCTCTTCTTGGCTCGGGGACAGCCGGACAGACTGCGGGACAGAAGTCACACTGTGAAGGGACGGCCTGTCTCCGTCGTGTTGTTTGTTAGGTAGTATGCGGAGGCACCGTACCTCCTGTGGGAGGCGTAGTTTCCCGTGATGTGTCCAGATCCGTCGCAGCCGGGGGTCGGACACCTGGGGCACAAACACAAGGGAGTCAAACATCGACTCGGCCCCCCACACGGATGTGACCCCCGTTAAGAAGAAGACGTCGGGGGCGTTGGGGCGTCTCTCATTGGTTTGTGGCCGCTTTGAATCCTCCGAGTTTGTCAGTTTTCGTCATCGTTCAACCAATGGACGGAAGTTACAACATTTGGACAGAGGAGGAGGTGGGGACGTCTCTGGTAGAGACCTGTCAATCAGTGTGTAGCCCCGCCCTAAAGCATCCCTTGCTTTGTGGTCTGTTTGACTCCAAATGGACCATCGTTTACTAAATGAACATCATGCTGTGTTGAAGAAGACTTGAAACTAGAGATTGAGACCATGAACTCATGTTTACAATGTTTACCGAGGGAATAGATCAAGAAAGAAGTAGAGTCATTTTTTCTTAGACGTCTATGGGACCAGAGGAGTCGCCCCCTGCTGGTCACTACATAGAATGCAGCTTTAACTCATCAGCTTCACTCAACAGAAGCGGAGTTTGCTGCCTGCGTTAAACACAAAACAAGGTAAACAAAGAGCACACAAAGGGTTCAAGATGGAATGTAAAAACATGCACAAAACTATTAATGATATTACTTCACCATCATCTCTCATCTCGGTAGCCTGGAGGAGGTTCAAACCAGGAAGTGAGAGGGATGAAATGAGAGCTGCACATGTCACGATGTTGACGTGAAGTGTTCCATTGATATTCAACCCTCCCGTTGAGGGTCCAGGCTTCAGGGTTCTGGTCTCTAGGGGGCACAGCGGGACTCACCTGAGGTCCTGAGAGTTGGTCGTCATGATCCCGCGGATGTTCTTGTCGGCCAGCTGGCAGCTGGACAGCCTGCCGGAGGGGAAAAGACGGAACGGAACTCAACCATCCAACTCTCAACCTCGGGTTCAGAAGTTGAACCTTTTTCGACAATAAGGTTCATTTTCAGCACTTGTTCCCACGAGGGAGCAAAAAGAAACCCGGCTTTATCCGATGTTCACATTTCTGCTGTGGAAATGTATGAAAATGAACACATATATTTTTTTTAAATGCTCAAAAAATGCTGTGCCCAAATATGATATATGATATGTTTAAAAACTGTGTTGGACAATTAATAATGTCGTCATATAAGTGATAATTTATTATTCTTCCTCTTAAAGGAACATCTGGTGTTCCGTACAGGTGTGCGAGTGCAGGTGTGCGAGTGCAGGTGTGTGAGTGCAGGTGTGCGGCGCGCTGAGCCTCACGTGAGGAGCTCCTTCTTGCCCTCCTTGCAGGCCGGGTACTTGTGGTGCTTGGGGCTGTGCACGGGGGCCTCGGCCGGGTAGCGCTGCTCCTCCAGCAGCTCCTGGAAGGGGTCCAGCTGGTCGGCCTGGTGCAGGGACGAGAAGTACGCAGACTACGACGCGTCACCGCGGGAACCCAGCGTGCATGTCAACGGGCACGCTTTTTCTCACCATTGATTTGTTTTAGTTTAGGAACCTTCATCTAAACTAAACTATCGGACGCGGAGCTGGCGAGCGCGGCCTCCGCTCAGGGAGGTTCTGCATGTACACGCGTACTTCTTTATTTAACGCTGTAGGAGCGACGCGCTCACAAAGGACGTCCTCGTTGTTGGAGGAGCAGCTTCTCTGTAAACGGCTCACAAAGCGTAATCATCTGCTAATCTGTGTGAACAACAAGTCTGGCTTCCTTAAATCTCTCAATTTCACGCTTCAAATGACCTCCTTGCTTTGCGTACATGCTGCCTAAATATTACATTCTGTGGTTAAAGCCTTTAATCGAGCTTGAGTGGCGTTTAGAGCTTCAATTTGGTCTGAAAATAATTACATTTTTAAATTTAAATTCCACTTATTCAACGAGCAGCCTGACGTTAATCTTGAAAGGAGAAGTTTGGGGTTTAGAGTTGAGGGACTCTTCTCTCACATCTTTGAGGTTTGAGCTGATTATAAAGAAAATAAAGAATCCATGAAGGTGCGTAAACAAGTCGGATCATCTACAAACTGAAAAGGGCTTTTTATAACTTTACTGACAAACATTCACACGCTGCCTCACAGAATCAATGCATATGTAATCCAAATAATCATAAAGTATAAAGACTTTAAACTCCACATGAGAAGTCATCGATGATTTATTTTGTCACGTGACTTTGATACTCGAGTATCGTCTCTCCTGAAGCTTTTTTAACCAATAACGCAACATTTCACTAGGCTTTCACTACCTTACACATATCTAACTATTCCACCATCATATATTTGCTCCCCTTACCTCCTTGTGCTCCTCCTCGCCCCCCAGGCGTTTGATCTTGGTGTAGTCCACAGGCAGGTCCCAGCAGTCGGCCTCGCTCAGCTGGTAGCAGCGGCTGCTGAGCAGCGCCTGGCGCTGGGGGGACATCGGCTGCAGGGGGGTCAGCACCGTCCCGCTGCCCTCCGGCCCGCCGGGCTGGCCCCCCACGTCCAGCGGCCCCCCGTCCTCCAGGTCGCCCACGGGGCTCTGAGGAGGGGGGGGGGGGGGCATTTGAAAGTGGGCACAAATCACAGATGAAATGTGAAAATGGATCCGATTGAACCTCCACCTAAAACTCCACCCTTTGGAGGAGGGGGGGGGGGGGTTCTCCTCCGCTTTACTCTCCACCAGTGCCTCCCCCCTCTGAGAAGGTTTATCAACTGATGCTTCAGCAACAGATGTATGTCTTTTCTCTCAAATATCAATACAAGCTTCTTCCTCATAATGTGAGACTATTCATCTCAGGGTCAATTTGAGTTGTGCTGCTCTCAGATCCAGATTCAGATCCAGATCCAGATTCAGATTCAAATTTAGATTTAGATTTAGATTCAAATCCAGATTAACCCCCGTTAAAGGCACGCTGCCACCCCTCTTTCAGTCGGTAATAATAACTTTGTACTCACCAAGTGGACTGCTGAGATCTGGAAACATGGAGAAAAAAACAGTTTATCCAGATGATCTAGTTAGCGTGTTGGTGATTGTCTCTCAGCTAGAACAGCTGCAGGTACCGGAGGTCAAAGGTCAAGTGATGGCTCAAACGGACACATCACAACGCAGCCTCATCTGTGGTTCACACACTTCAACATCGACTTTGGTGGGTACAATGCTGATATTTGTATGTAACATGTGTCATCACTGTTGGCCAGAACAACAGGATGTGTTAAATGTGTGTGTGTGTGTGTATGTGTGTGTGTGTGTGTGTGTGTCTACCTGAGTCAGCAGGTCTTGGGGTTTCCCCCCCAGCGCGTGGGGGAGCTCCCTGCACCGCGTCGACAGGTTGAGGATGGCCGTGGCCGCCATGTGGGCCGCCTCCATGTCGTGGGTGTAGTCGAAGCTGCTCTTACTGCAGGTGCTGCTGGCGCTGCTTCCTCCTCCTCCTCCTCCTCCACCTCCTCCTCCAGCGCCGCCTCCTCCACAGCTCAGGCTGCTGCTGCTGCTGGGGGCGTAGCTGCTGGTCGTACTGCTGGCCGGGCTCGACGTCTTACAGTAGCGCTTAGCTGCAGGGAGGCGCACACACACACACACGCACACACAGAAATGTGCACGCACACAGACACATGCACACACACACACACACACACAGACACATGCACACACACACACACACACACACAGAAATGTGCACACACACAGACACATGCACACACACACACAGTCACACACACAGAAATGTGCACACACACACACACACACACCGACACATAGACACACACACACAGACGCACACACACAGACGCACACACAGACACGCAGAGGGTTGATTTGTTAGATTGCCGCTGGCGTTCATCCAAACTGCAGCAGATGGATCAGAAATCGTCCAAAACGAGGAGTTTCATTTATAAATAAGAAATAAAAATAGATGAAGGGAAACAGAGACGGTGATATTTATGTTGTGATGTTCATCAGGAACCAAATAAACAGTCATCAAGTTTTATTATCCTTATCGGACACATTTACACACACACACCTGTGTTCCTATTTTATGAAATTATTCTTATATATGTTATATGTTTATATGACATCATGGTTCGTAAAATCAACGTATTGTGTCTGAAAGAGTTGTTTCTAGAGTTCAGGTTATAGCATCATTATATCCAACTAATTATCAGTTATCAATATACAAACATATTATCAGCGATCCTCTTTAACTTTGTATTTCATATTTGGTGCATGTAAGCGTATTCATTCTGCAAAGTGAACAACAATCATAAAACTTACTTTTGAGTTGCAGATTGGCACAAAATGTAAAAAAGGAGCAGGTCTAACTTTGTCTGTTTAACCGAACTGCAGAAATACATGAGCACCAAATGTGGAATCATCCGCTGCAGCAAATAGTTCCCCACAAACCTCCACTTCCTCCCAACCCACAAACTACAAGGACCACTTTTGAAGGGAAATTCTTGACTGTTTATTGACACTACGTGAAGTATATTTAAGTCTCAACTAAAAGAAAATAAACGTAGAAGAACACAATAAAACACAAGGAGGAAGAAATAGTCAGCTGTGGGGCAGGGTGAAGGTCGTGGAGGAAAGGATGCTGGAGAGGAGGGAGGAAAGGATGCTGGAGAGGAGGGAGGGAAGGATGCTGGAGAGGAGGGAGGAAAGGATGCTGGAGAGGAGGGAGGGAAGGATGCTGGAGAGGAGGGAGGGAAGGATGCTGGAGAGGAGGCAGGGAAGGATGCTGGAGAGGAGGCAGGGAAGGATGCCGGAGAGGAGGCAGGGAAGGATGCTGGAGAGGAGGCAGGGAAGGATGCCGGAGAGGAGGCAGGGAAGGATGCCGGAGAGGAGGCAGGGAAGGATGCTGGAGAGGAGGCAGGGAAGGATGCTGGATAGGAGGGAGGAAAGGATGCTGGAGAGGAGGGGTGATATCAGGGGGGAGACACCTCGTCTAAAAAACCTCCCTCTCTTTCCTGCGTCTCGCTAATGGCTCCCAGCCAAGAAACTCGCCTCCATTATCTCCGTCCCGCTTCACAATCCCTCCATCTGCACCTCCTCCCTCCATCTGCACCTCCTCCCTCCACATCACCTCCGTCCAAAAAGCCTCTTGGCTCGGCATTTCCATAACTCGCCTCTCTTCTTTTTATCTCCCCTCCATGTGGAGAGGCGGAAAACACCGTCGTTTTTTCAGCGCTCTAACAAAGAGAATGCACTGACTATACAGAGCATGTGTGAGTGTGTGTCTGTCTGTGTGTGTCTGTCTGTGTGTATCAAGCTTTTGTTGTCAAGTACAAAATGTTCTCCCTGCAACGGGAAAAGAGAAAAGGAATCCTCCATAGTGGGAATCACTGCAGGTTTGCTTCCCTTACAGGACTGAGTGCAAATCTGTTTCTTTCTCCTCATTCTGAGTGTACGAAACTGGGAATGCTGATTAAAATAAGATGTATTTATGTGTTTGCAGGAGGTGGATCATTTGGCATGTGAGTAAAGACTGAACCACACCTGCTTCCTCTCATCACCACTCGTCATTCTTCCCCTAGCTGATTTACATTCCACCATTGTGCTGCGGAAGCGGCGCCGGCGCGCCGTGACGTAAAAGAGACGAACCCACCACACTTCCTCCTCTCCTTTTTCTGTAAACAAAGGAGACGGCGTAACTCACCGTCGTATCCTTTGGGGGAGGTGTCCCGGCCGTGGGGGAGCTTGGTGGCGAGGCCTCGCTTCCCGTAGCCGCCGCCGTGCTGCCCGTCGTAGCCGCCGTAGTCGTAGCTGGTCTTGGAGTATTTCTCCAGCTCTTTGGCCAGGTTGGAGCGCGGCGTGCTGGTGGGGACGTTGTTCTTGTAGCCGTACTGAGGGATCTCCAGCTGCTTGACGAAGCACATCGGCCTGAAGAGGGGGGGCGAGGGGGGGGGGGGTTACACTCTACCATTTGGCTTCTCTTTCATTTAAGCAATGAGCGTGAATATAATCAACGTTTCCCAAAAGCAAAGACAGATTAGACGCTGTGTTCATTATGTCTGCATCTTCACCAGTGGGCTTCCCCAATTAAAATGTATTGTTTTGCATGAGAAAGCAAACTGCTTCAGGAGGGAGACGTTAGCACGCTGTTCCTTTCTCTTTGTTTAAAATGTCTGCTTTGTATGACATTAATACAAATAGGTGACCCTTTGGCATCCTTGAGTTGTGATGTGAGAAGAGGGTTTCTTTCACGCATGCGACGATATTTCCCAAAGCTGTTTATTTTTCTTTGTTTCTGTTCAGTTAAATAAAGTTTGAATGATCTGCAGCAGCTTCCCACTGCGACAATTCCATCATTTGGTATCCTTACTAACACTGTTGAGTACGGTTACTGGTTTAGGCTTAATGGTTTCTGCTTAATGCACCATCCATCATCTAAGAGACGCACAGAAAGGTCTTAAGACGTTCACCAAAACATTGTTGGTTTGTGTTTTTCTTTTTAAGAGGCTTTTTTTGGACACAGAGTTAAATTCTTTGCACGATACGGCCTCCCTGATCTAAAACTAGATGGTGAATGTAATTGTACAGCAAATAATAATATAATAATAAAAGTGAACCAAAACCCAAACAGCAAAGAACCAGATACAGTCGGCTTTGCGTCGGCAGGATAACTTTTGGATTTGACGCACGTCGCTGTCACTAAAACACGTCGCCTTATCGCCGCTCTGACTCGAGTGGGCCGTACCTGAGCACGCGGTCTGACGTCTGATTGGTCTTACTGCCGCTCTCAGTCGGGATGCTTTTCTCGTGGACCTTCGACATCTTGTCTGCTGCAGCGATGGGGCAGCCGGACAGACTGGAGGACGGAAGGAGGGAGGGAGGGAGGGGAGGAGAGGAGGGAGGAAAGGAGGGAGGGAGGGAGACAGCACACGGCCTGATTACATACACTGTACGGTCCACACAGACACACACAGCATCTGGCTGAAGAGAGGTTCAGAATGAATTGTGAGTTGAGGTTGACTTTGTGATGACTGCGCTGCTGGTTTACTGGCTGGTTTGTGACTCAACTCACTGACGGACTGGTTTACTGACTGACTGGTTTAGAGACTGAGGGTTTCTGACTTTGATGAATTGACTATTGGCCAGTTCACCTCGGACTCACTGGATTCACTGACTGGTTCCAATGACTTACTGGTGTGGTGACTCTCTACTAACTATGCGACAGCTTGGTGACTGGTTACCGACTGATCAGAAGTCCTGCATCCCTTCATCCCAAATAAAAGGAAGTAAAGATAGAAGCAGTCAGCTCGCGCGCAGCTGTCGCTTTAGCTCCTAAACGCATTTTGACCTCCAAACAAACCCGTTTCTTCCCAAACGAAGTCTCTGACGAGCCTCTAAGGTCTTTTTTTTTCTGCCGTGAGTTTTGGACTAAAAGAGAAACGGCTTGTATTTAAAACTAAAACTTCTCCCTCCATCTGTCACTCCGGGCGATTCCCAATCACTTGATACACGAGAGGAATGAAAGCTCACACACGCACACACACACACACACACACACACACACACACACACACACACACACACTTTAAGGTTGATAGGAGCGTGTGAGCATTGTGTGACAGACCAGCACGGCAGATGCTGCTGCTATGAAGGCGTTTCCATGGCAACTGCCAGACATGAAAGCTGTGTGAGCCGCTAGCTAACGGTGGCTACGCTAACTAGCTAGCGCTTTGTTTCCTTTCCCAGCGGAGCTGTGCTACATAACACACCCCGCGGCCACGTCTGAGTCAGTGTGTGTGTGTGTGTGTGTGTGTGTGTGTGTGTGTGTGTGTGTGTGTGTGCGCGTGAGCTTCTCTCTCTGCACGTGTGCGGCTGTCTGTGAGATCCTTTGTGTGTGTGTGTGTGTGTGTGTGTGTGTGTGTGTGTGTGCAAGTCTGTCTGCGTGTGAGTGTGTGCAAGTGTGTGTGCATAAATCTGTGTCTGTGGTTTCAGGCTCTATGTATGTGTGAGGAGAAGAGTGTGAATCCTAATCACTTTACATAATTCAAAGTGTGTGTGTGTGTGTGTGTGTGTGTGTGTGTGTGTGTGTGTGTGTGCGCGTGTGTGATGGTCTGTTCTGCCTGATGTGACGCACCTTAAGCTCAAACATTTAAATTAAAGCCCCCTTCTTTTCCACCACATCCTGAGCCTGGGAATTTTGCAGCCACAGAGATCATTTCATGCGAGAGGAAATGTGGTAATTCCCTGGTATCAGGAGACCAAACGCTCTCTTAGGGACAAAAACAGCAACACTGGAGGGGTAAAAGAAGATCTTGTGTTTCAGGGTTGTGTGTAAAACGAGAGCGGCTCGTAACATCCGACCTGACCTGAAAAAATAAAACCCTGCGTCATTCGCAGCCTTAAAGCCTTATTCCACTTTCTGGATTAAAGTAAACAGGAAGTGTGTGTCTACCAATCAGCAAAGCGCGCACACTTCAAGCCTTTCGCGCGGTAAACGTTCCACATTCACATGTCGGCCATGTTTGTTTCTTGGGCCCTGCGGCCCGCGGGCCGACGGCCGCTGTCACTCACCTGCGGTGCGAGTTCCGGTTGCTATTGACATGACCCCGTCCAGAGCAGCCGGGAGTGGGGCACTTTAAAACATTCTCATACATGGCAAGGACTTTGACAGACAGGAGAAGGTGAGAAAGACAGCGAGGGTTAGGAGCAGACAGGAGAGTTACTGCGGCGGCTCGGCATGCAGGCGGGCGGCGTGACGATGGCCGACGCCGGCGGGAGAGGACATGCGACCTCCGCCAGGTACACCAGTGCAGCGCAAGCACCGGGGGGGGGGGCGGAGGTCTTTTCCCGCTGGCGATTATTATCATTGTGGTTTTAATATTGAGCTTCTGAGAAATCTAACTTGTATTCTTTGGGCTCAGAGATATTAGTTATGATGGTTACTACAGATAAATGAGACAAGAGGCGAAAATACAGCCCAAAATACCAAAAAACTAAAAGGTATTTAAATATCCTTTTGTTGTGTTCCTCACGTTTCACCTGATCTAACGACACATTTAGTGAGCGGGATTAAAGCAGCTTCGGAGGTTTTCTCATGCATTTGTTATTTAGCAGCTGGTGCATCAAACTGATTTCTTCATGCACGTCATGAACGGAAACCAGACATCAGGCGGGTGTGATGAGGAGGGAGGAAAGGAAAGTGAAAACTTAAAGAGCATTTTGTCACACGATTGCAAATTATATTCTGATTCATAACAAACTTCTAAATCCTGCGCTCAGCTTCCAGCAAGTCAAACAGAAAGTATTTATCAAAAAAACACAGATGTGGAGTCATGCATGTCCAATGTTTCGCCGCTACACAATCCATCCAACATGTCGTTTGATGCAATAATGTCAGACTCTCCATTGTGTCCAGAAGATACAAAGTCAGGAGGTGAAGGTTTGGATGATAAATGTGTCGCAGACGTGACGCTGCTCGTACGGGAATCAGTTCAGTTTTAGAACAGAAGACACAACAGATCAGTTTTAATCGATGATGGTTTTAGCTTTCAGCAACATTTCTCAGAGGCAAAACAATGTGGTTGTGTTCAAATGAAACGTCAATAAGCTCAATAATAAGTGAACAGCCTGAATGAGCCTTCATTGAACGTTATGGGATGGCATTTTGATTATTTAGTTTGGGAGGAGCCTAACAGACCAAAGGAATGCACATATGGTCTTTATGATGGCTTTAAAAGGTCGGAGGTCACTTGTTTGTTGTTGTCTCTCTTGTTTACGATGAATGTGAATACATTATACTTCACTCCGGATCTCCTTGAAATGAACTAAACAACTAAATTGAGAAGATCTCAACCGATGAAATAAAGTGAGAAGCAGTTGTATCCTCGAGTTAATTTCTTTGACGCCGCTGTTCCTTCTTCGTTATTAACTTATTCTATTTTTGCCCGACTTGAAGTGAGAAACACTCCAACTGAGCCCTAGTATCCCGCACCTCGACCAGCGAGTCTGTTTGCCTCCAGAGAAATGGCCGTTGGACTAAAGACGCTCATCGTGGTCTCTGTTTGAAGCTGTGTGTGAGACCTCCGGGCAGAGGGACCTACTCTCAGGAGGGACCCGGTCTTTGTGGGGACACCCGGACAGGCTGCGGTGGTGCGGGTAGAGACCCGTCACGTGGCCGGTGCCGTCGCAGCCCGGCGTCGGACACTTGCTCTCCTTCTTGTCCCCTCGGGAAGAGTCTGGAGAGGACAGAGAGACGTGAGGTGAGTCCGCAGGCTGGAAGACACTCTGCCTGTGAAGCCCGGGGGACAGATGTGCCTCCTCGTAGTTTCACACTTTTACCTTCTGTTGTTGTCATGGTGAGACTCGGATTTACACTTTTCACCAGTCGTAAATGTATCTTTTTCTTTTTCTCTGTCTTTACATCATTAGGACATTAGGTACCATATGATGTAGTGCCCTTATCTTCACCACAACACTTGTATTTATTATCATTTTGTTTTGTATTGTTTTATCGTTGTGGTGATGAAGTTGCGTCCATGTAATTCCACTGCGCCTCCCCTAGAGGGCGCGCCCCCCAGATTGGGAACCACTGCAAAAGTCAGCGGAACAGATTCACGGTGCAGATTTGGGTCGATTGGGCCGGCGAATTGGCACCGGAGAGGAGCGTGACGTCCCCGATGGGAGTGTTGATCGCAATGGAAGTTTTGGACTAAAGAAGAACTTCCTCTGTGGTACCGAAGCGCCTGGAGCCGATGCGAGGCTGATAACCGCACAGCGGCGACTGCAACGCCGGCGGGAGGGAGGCGCATTTGAGTGGATTTAGAGAAATAGGCCGAAGAGAGCGTCACACGGATGGATTTGCTCTCCTAACGGGCCACGCAGATTGCCATTACTCATGCCTGACAAGCCGGCCGTCTGATGTTCCCACAACGGCCTATTTTAACAACATAAGCTGCTGTCAGAGGAAAACTGAGCATCTGCGGGGGAAAAAAGAAAACTGTGTTGCTGTTGAAAACGAGGCCCATTATCTCATCGGAGCCCATGTTCAAAATTTCGGAATTAACACAACAGGATATTAACAGGTTTTAAGGGTGAGGAATGGTCCAATCGGGGGCAGATGAAGTTACAGTTGTGTGTTTTTTTGAGGGTTACAATAAGACGAGATAAACGTCCTCCTCGCTGACTTGAAGTCAGATCTTTGGAGGAAAAAAGCAGATTCAGGTCACATTGGCAAATTGGCAGAATTTGGAGAGGGAACATGATGGGACGATGACTTTGGACACGGTACAGAAACAAAGTCTTGTGATGCTGCGGAGCTACACTCACCGACTGACTGGCTGAACTAAATCTGCCTCTGGAAGCCCTGATAAAAATAGTCCTGGCGTGGAAGAAAAAAGGCTTTTCTTTCTCTGATGTAAAACATCTGAGGTGGGACCAACTGGGTGACGACGCGACGGAGGAAAAACTCCCCAGCAACAAACCTGTGCACAGACATGGAAACGTGGCATAGCGAGATGTTCCCTTCGTTACCTTTCGGGTAGAACGCCCTCTTCAACCCGTCGTGGTGCATCCTGGACTTGCGCTCCTCTCCGGCGCAGCTCAGCCGCGAGCTGTGCTCGCCGTGGCCTCGGTGGTGGTGGTGGTGGTGGTGGTCCCGACGGGGCAGCGAGTGCTCCGAGGCGATGCGGTCCCTCATGACCTTCGCCCTCTCCGACTCCAGGGCGATGGCCTTCTCCAGCAGCGACAGGTTTCCCTTGGCCATGTCGAAGGTCTCGTCCGAGCGGTCGGAGGCCACCGACGTGGTGTCCTCGTCGCCCTCCTGGCTGCAGCTGGTCGGATACCCTCTGGACCCCGGGCTCAGCTGCTCCTCCAGCTTCATCAGGTTCACCATGTCGGAGTAGCTGCGCTCCAGGGACCGGTGCTCCTCCTGGGCGCTCTGCTGGCAGCTGTCGTACCTGAGCCGACGGTGGGACCAGAAATGGCCGCCAGTGAGTGACGGATCACTGGAATGCCGGGACGCCTCAGGCACACTGTTTGGATCTAGAAGTTCAACCATCTGGTGCGGAGTCTGGAATGACTGCCAATGTCAATACGCAATGAAGCTCGTAATCCTTAACTTCTTTTGTTCCTTTAAAACAATAAACCCTTGGGCCAGGTCTGACGCTTCAGAGAGTATATTTCGATAAGTCCCGTCATAGACTTCTATCTACGGCCAGTGGCGAGGATGTAGCTTTAAGAGCAGGAGCCCGTTTAAGGTCGATGGAGGGCTTCGTCTCCATGAGATCTGATGTTTGTATGAGGGCTCCCAATGATACAACAACTAACAACCTGTTGTTTTCCGCCGTTATGCACGTTTCCCTTTCATCTCACACAGCACCTTTGCCTCACTTCAAAGCCGACCCATCGAGCCACAGAGAAGTCGCCGGTAATTACGCTAATGTGGGTCATAAGCATAAATAAGGCTTTAATCTACCTGCAGAGCCTTTCATAGGACACAAAAGTAGGCGGAAATACGAGTAGGTGGAACAAGCAACAACACGATCAAAAGGCTCTTTCGGAGATGACGAACCTGTTCAGGTGATGCACCACCTGGTGGTCCGCCGGCATCTGGAGCTGGTGGTGCAGCGCGTGGAGGGCCGGGCGGTCGCACGCCTGCGTCTCGCTCAGCTTCCGGGCCAGATCGAAGCACTGGTTCCTCAGACACTCCAGGCTGCTGAGGCACACCTCCTCCTCGCTCTCGTCCGCCTGAACCCTCACCCCGACGCCGGGCCTCCCGTTGGCGTGGTGGCCCGCGTCGCCCAGCATGCCGCCGTCCGGGTAGCCGTCCTCGGGCAGCATGGCTCCGTGTCCCTGCGCCAGCAGCTTGAGGGAGTCCACCGTCTCCCGGACCACGTCGCTGTCCAAGTCCACGCTCAGCTCGCCCTTGCGGCCGCCGCGGCCGCCGGCGTCGTACTCCTCGTCGTCCTCGTCCTCCCCGCCGCTGTTGGAGGAGTTGCTGTTCATCTCGGACTCGGTCAGGGCCTGGTAGGCGGCGTCTTCCGCGATCTTCCCCAGGTTGAGCAGCGACTTGGCGACCAGCTCGTCGTAGTTCTCGTAATCCTCCCCGGGGGCGTTGCCGGCGCCGATGGTGCAGCTGTGGTTGTTGTTGTCGTCCTTCTGAATGAGAAGCAGCTTTGATTGTCCCGCGGGTTTGTAGTGGTTCTCTGCCGTCGGGGGAAAGAGAGAAAGAAACCTCTCAGACATCCAGATACAAGAACGTCTCACAGCCCGGTATTCTGCGCCACAAACCACATAAACAAGGTAATTGGTCAAAAACAAAAGAGGAAATTGATTAATTTGGTAGATATTATAACCATCTGTTCATTTACAGAATAATAATCCTGCAGATGAAAAGGAAAGGAAGCTTTTTACAGCCTATAATAAACTCAGTGGTGCTGATGAGCCCCGTTTCTTCTCATATTCTCCTGAATACATTAGCAGCATCCCTCCCAATTATGATCCACTATTTACTCACATAAAACACACAACCCAGAGCCGCTCTCCCCGCTAAGCCTCGCTGTGGATTTTGGGGACAGAGACGCGAGTGAGAGCAGAGAAATTGAAAAGGGAGGCGGGTGAGGTGCTCCGATTCGGGGAGCCATAAATATTCTCAGGAGGAGAAGCCGAGGCGAGCGCATGTGACACGAGGAGGGGGGGAGTTAATAACTCAGCACAGCTCCTCTCCCGATTATTCGTGAAGCGCTGTCAGAAGCGATTGAGGACAGGAGGGGGGGGGGGGGACGTGTCGGGAGAGAGAGAGAGCATCTGGTCTACCGCAGACTCGTCTCAGCAGCTCTCATCACTTCCTCTTCTCCCACTGCAGGTTCAGAGGACGATGCAGGACGGGACATCGGTCCCAGAGAAGCCCCGTCCATCTGGTTCTGGGACTCTGCAGACCCAGAGGACGCTGTCCCAAGAGGACTGATCAATGGGCCCATCCACTGCATCCGAGCCCTCTTTGTGTTATAAAGAGACTGACGCACAGTCACGTAGATGATTTAACTGTCCACCATGAATAAGTCTCCTACTTGACTTTCTATGGGTCATGATCATTAAAAAAACAAATGTGAACCTAAAAGATTAACATTGAAAAATACAACAATGTGTTCAAAATAAAAATAAGTTTTGGGTTGAATATAGTTTTGACTCAGTTCTAAAATAAAAACACAAATGACACCTCCCTGTAAGTCACATTATCTGCAGTTATATTATCTTATTTCTTCTGTTTTTAAATATGGAAGAATGGAAAAAATGAGTCATAATTTGGTTTTCATATTTTTAGATCCTATTTATTGTTTTAAATATTTTAGTTGCTTTTTTAAAAACATATATAATTTTACTGTTCTCATGCAGATTTTAATTTGTCTTGTTGGACTTCGTGTCAAAGGACACGAGGACAGCCGGTCTTCCAGCAGTAATTTATCATTATTAATTATTGTGACTCAGTTCAGTTTTACTATGAACAGTTAGTTCGGATCAAAACACTTTTCAAATGCATTTGGGAACAAAGAAAGAATCAGGAAACTCACCATGCTGACGACGTGGCTCCTCCTCATCCTCCTCCTCGTCTTCCTCTGCCTCATCCTCCTCATCATCACCATCCTCCACTTCTTCCTCCTCCTCGTACATCCCCTCCTCCTCTTCCTCCTCCTCCTCTTCTTCCTCCGCCCGCTCTCCTCCCATTGTCGCACCCGCTCTCCCCACCTCTACCTCCTCCTCTTCATCCTCCTCCTCTTCCTCCTGCTCCTCGTTGTCCTCCGAGAACTCGTCCTCCACGTCTTCATCTCCTTCTCTCTCCGCCTCCTCTTCCTCCTCGTCCTCCTCCACTACCTCACCCTGCTCCTTCCCTTCCGCGAGGGCTCGGTTCTGGTACCGGGCGTAGGCGCCGGCGTCCTCCTCCCCCCCGTTGCAGGGCGTGAGGAAGGGCCTCCTCTTGGCAGCCGGCTCCAGCGGTTGTTTCTCCAGAGCTTTCCTCTTCTTGGCCAGCGGGCAGCCGTAGACGCTGCAGAGAGACGAGAGGTCACAAAACACCATCAGTAACCGTCTCTGCTCCTCCTGCTCTCCGACAGGAGATGATTCTCAGGTCAGAGGGGCCACAGTCGGCTCACGTCGGACCCCCCAGAGCCACCACGCGGACCAGGTCATCCGCTCCATTTCATCGAATCGCAACAGAACACAAATGCACAAGTGTCTAAAAACTTGAACGGACGATGACCTCGAGGCTTCAGAGCGCCAGTCGGCAAAGTAACGGGTGACGTCGCTATGGCAACGGCCACTTCCTGTGTGCGGTGCGTGGGTTTTAAGGAGTTTTAACGAGTGAAGTAGTTGTGTAGGAACTTTTGCACCGTGATGCAGTGATCAAGATACGTTCAGAAGTTAAAAACATAACAATTGTATTACTTTTATGTTACTATTATGTTTATGTTATGTTGAGTTTCCGCCACCCACACGGGGGCCTTGAAGGACGCAACTGGTGTTTTGATACATGAGGGAGCGGATCGAGGTTGTCACAAACTTGAATGGATCGAATGTGGTGTATTGTGACAACAGGAGGGTCATGGGCAGAGACTCACTCGCATGTCGACCGCGTGTTAAAACCCTGCGGTGGATTTCTGAGCAGAATCATTCCAAAAAAATAAATAAACCCAGAGCCTATTCAACCTGAGCCTCAATTACGCAAATCCCATAATAGTCGTTAACTGTTGGGAAAATTCTGCTTTAATTGCTCTAAAACAGCGAGCACAATTATACACGGCTTTAATGTGGATTTTAGGAAATCAATTAGTCTATTTCCATATGAAAGGGCTTATTTTGTGTTTGGAGGAGGTGCCGTGCTTCTCTTGAGTTTGTTTTCTCCTGTAACCAAATAAAAAGAAAAAAAATATTCGATAAGCAGTCCACTATTATTACAGGACCTGTAGTGCAACATATAGATGAGTGCAGGTTCTTTGCTTCAGGAGAATATGACCCAAGGGGCTGTAAACGACGGAGGGCCTCGGATCGAGCCCTGTGGAACACCAGAGACCCTCAGACACCAGAGACACAACGTCCGGCTTCAGCAGACAAAAGCAGGCGGGTTCCTTTAAAAGGAAGGAGGTTTTTAGGACTATTTCCTCTTATATCCATCTTTGTATTGCTTGAAAATGATTGTGTTTCATTAAAAAAAAAAAAAAGGACAGTGAACATCTTTTGAATTTTAAGATGTGTTAAGTTTTACTCCCTCAATAGGCCCGTCAGTAACTATGAATTAAAACAGAAGTAGAACCTTATATGAGTCGCTTCAGGAAAGGACAGATGCTCAATTTCCTGTAGTTCAATTAATTACATTCATGTGATCGCAATTTGGTGCAGACATTTGTTTGAGTTTAGAGAAGGAACTGCATCATTCCCCATATAACACAACATTGTATATTCCTGTGAGATAATGCACATCTCCTGAAATAAACTCTCCATCTTTTACCTTATAGTGCATATGTGCATGTGTGTGTGTGTGTGTGTGTGTGTCCATGTGTGTGTGTGTGTGTGTGTGACCTCAGCCACCTTGCTGCCTCCCGCCAATTAAAATTCTGGTGGTAATTAAAGCAGATCAGGAACGAGGGAATGCTGCAGACAAGGGCGAGAGACTATGCATGGTAATTATGTGGAGGGACAGAGAGCGAGGGGGGGGGGGGGGCATCACACATCACACTTTCTCTTCTCACCAAACCGATCCGCTGCCGCCTGCTTATTACACGGAGCGTGTATCGATCGATCACTCATTTTGATCCTGATCGCGATCAACTCAAATATGAACCAGCTGTTTCTGCAGACATCTTGTGCATCATTTGAAGACACCATCATTCTCTGTGAATGATGAGAGAAACACAGCTCCTGAAGAAAAATGATGCATTATGTTTGGCGAATAAGTTCCATTTATAGAGTTTCTTTGACACCTAGTTGAGGCTAAAAGGGCTTTTTTTAGCCCAATTTAACCTACGACACCTGGACCTCCACCACGGTCTCTACAAGGACACCTGTCGTCCATGTCTGTGCCTATGAGGACACCTGCAGTCCATTATTCGCCCTACAGGGCTAACTACAGACACATGAAGTCCGTTATAGTCGGTTCAAGGTCACCTGGAGTCTATTAGTGTCTCCACGATGACACCTGGAGTCTATTGTCTTTGTGTGGACACCTGGATGTCATTAATGTCTCTACTTGGACGCTTCAAGCTCGATATTGTCTCCTGTACCACCATCTCACCAATGCTGCTGTCGCTGATGAAGCATCAGTGCTGTTGCTATGGTTACCTGCTGTTTAATATACCTTGAGCACTCATTTAGACCAGAACCACGCTGGAGGCCAACACCTGTCAGCCAATCAGAGACAAGTATTTTCTGCTACCGTCTAATTGTGGTTGATTTAACTTGTCCATTTCTAACTATTCACATCTTCATCAATAAAAAGGGACATTTAAATTATTACTATTATTTAATTTTCCCCCGCAAAAAAAAACGTGGCGTCAATGAGCAGAGTGAGGCGACAGAAATATCAGCGGCAGTCTGATAATTAAATCTAGGTATGTGTGGTTAGGTAGAATCATTGCCCCCGGCAACGCCGCGTGCTAACAGCCATCACCGCGGCAACGCTTTGGCACCAGCAGAGGATGGGGCTGGGGGGCATATATACTGTGTAAGAGATTGGGTGGTGGCGGTGAGACGAATAGGGGGAAGGGGGGGAGGGGCGCAATGTGGGCGACACAATGTTCACATCCTATACTAGCGGTTGCCATGGGAGACGGGCTGCATCCCTCCTGGTCCTCATACTCCAGCATCCGCACAGTGCTGTCGCCATGGTGACATCCTCCAGAGAGAGAGAAAGCCAGCAAGAGGGGGGCCGGGAGTGGGGGGGGCGGGGTGAAAGAGGGAGAGAGAGACAAAGAAAGGTAGGGGAGGGAGAAAGAAACCGAAGGGGGGGAGACAATGACTTTGATTCCCCCCCCCCAGCTCATTCAGTACAATGCACAGCACAACCCGTGTCTCTGCTTCCCAGCGGGGGGATGTGGAGAAATGTTGTGATTGGCTCCCACCAGACGGTGGCGGTGGTGTCAGGAATGAGGTCAGGTTAACGCGCATAATGTGCAGCTTTATTTTTCCTCCTGTCAGCAAATTCCACGAGCAGATCCGACAGGGATTCAAACTTCACGTGTAGGTGATCGGCGTGCTGGGTTCTGTTTCCACACGAACTGGTTAAACCAGCCAGGAGTATCGTCCTAACGACGAGGAGCTCGCACTGATCAATATCTGTGTTGCCTTTTCGCTTTAGTTGGTTTGTTGGTTCGTGGGGAAGGATTTCGGTCAAATCTACCGGCTTGGTGTTCATTAAACCTGGTGGACGGATGGAACACGGGCCGAGGAGTCCGGATCCGAGTCACTGGACCACTCAACAATTATTTTATCTTACTTGGTAAGGTTCTATCTTTCATATGGGCTTGTTCTCCTCAGCTTTAAGGAGCATGGTTCTGTTCCCACACTGTTTCCGTTCTGTTTGATGAGGGACATTTCAGGCTTTTCAAGCCTCCAAAGACGAGACGGTTCAAGAGTAGCTGGTGAAGAAACATTGAGAGGTGGTGGAGACCAAAACCAGAGCAAAATTAAGAGTTACTATCGGACTCCAGAAACCTTTCAGATACATTTGGTTATGTAGTAAATTACATTTGGTTATGGAAATACTGCAAAAATCGGTGGACAGACATCTCTCTTATTTTCCCTCTGAGGAGATTTGTTCCCTAAAGCTAATTAAGTCTACGGTGAAAATGCACACGTGTCGCTACACTTTTGTAGTAAATGTGTTAATTTACTCCCATCCTCTTGGATTTGTCCCGCGCTGCTCACGCTGAGGTGAAAACAGATACCTCGTCATCCGACGCTTTATTTGACATAAGCGCGTCTTCCCCAGCGAGGTGAGTCAATAATGTCTGGAGGGAACTTCCCACCTGCTATAGAAGCTGAAGGGAATGACAGATGTGCTCTCTTTGTAAATCCACACGTTGTGTGTTGTGAGCCCATGTGATCAGCTGATCAGCCCCCCCCAGGGAGGAGGACATCACACTTCTCTTTCCTCGGTGTGGCTCGATGTGTCTCTTCCTCCGTGTCTCTCCTTGCCTGTAGGAGAGGCGATGAAAAGAAGACGCCGAGAGAAAGAACTTTTTGATGCTGCGGCTCTTCAAGCCATCGTTGATGAAAAGTCCTCAAAGCAGTTTGGGGAACAAGAAAAAGAAAAAAACATGGAGATTTGAACGTCTACTAGTTGGCGACAACTGGGCGACTCCGTCTGCTGATCAAGACCACGAGATGATCAAAACACAATCCAGCAGCAGATGTGTTATTTTGGTGAATATCAGAGCTCTTATTTTCCCTTTCAGAGCCATCAGTGTGCTCTGCCAGCGATTCGCCATCCTGCCCTTCTCATTATCTCTGTTACCTTGGGCATCAAACCACTGCTGTCCTGAGCCCAGCCCCCCCACACATACACACACACACACACACGCTGCCTGCACGCCGAAAAACAACCACGCAGAGATGCTCCCAAATACCCTCAAACACCCCGACCAGGGCTTTGATTCCACAACGGATGTTTCAATCCGATCGTTGCATCTAAAATCTGACGACCCAAATAAAGAATCGCTTCCACGGCCTCGTTCGGGCCTCAGAGAGACGCTCGCTGTGAGCGGTGACCTCTGACCTCTGTGGTCTGTGATGTATATTTCACCTGCTTCTTCAAAGGGTTCAACACAGATTTGTGCAGGAAAACGCAGGTTTTGTAAAATGAGATGAAGTGGACACTGCGAGTCCTCTGCTAAGACAAATGAGATGAAACGTTCAGAGCTGCAGAATAACCACGTCTTCAGCTGGCGTCTGTGATTCACCATCCGGCACAGCTGCAGGCCGGCAATCGGACGCACGTGTGCGTGTGTGTGTCTGCGTGTTTATGTATGTGTGCGTGCGTGTGTGTGTGTGTGTGTGTGTGCGATGATTGTCTACAATCTTCTTACATTTAGATGTGTAGTATTCATTTTGTTAAAAAGCTCAATTCCAGAGAGACATGGTCTTGCTGTCCTGCAGGGCCAGCCCCCCCCCCCCCCACAGCTTTATATATAGATTATTCTATATCATAATATTAAATAAGTAATATTAGAAGAAAATTTTGGGAAAATGTCCTTGATATCATGGGAAAAAATATGGGCTTCCCCTCCATCCGGAGTTCTTCGCCCCCCCCCAGACATCTAATGGCCAGAAAAATACCGTCTCCACCAACACCTATAGGGGGTCGTATCTGCGGGGGCCTGGGTAACTTCCGCTGACGTGGCCGCCGCCATCGCAGCCCGGAGTGGGACAGCTGGGGAGGAAACACGAGGAAGAGGTGAGTGACGGGAAAGAGCCGCAGTGATGCATCGAGGGCGGAGATGTTCCCGCTCTCTCCTGACCTCCACTAACGACAGTGTTTAATATCTTTGACCAGGAGACATCTGCTCCCACGTGTCCCCCGGTGCTGCGTGCTGTTGTCTCGAGTCGACTCGTGCTGAGAACCTGCAGCAGGTCGAAGCCTTTTCTTTGTGTTTTGTCTTTTTTCTTTTTTGCGTCGTGGCAGCAGATTTTCTTCCGGAGCTCTGAGTCACTGCTGCAGCCTTCAGGCCCTCAAGACACGCACGCCACACCGCGACCTCTGACCCCCCGCCCCCCCCAGGAACACACAGCCTCCGCCCGACATCACCTGATCGACCGACTTAAACGGTGGAGAGAGGGAGAGGAGGAGGATGAAGGGGAGGAGGAAGAGGAAGAAGATGAGGAAGAGAGGGAGAGGAGGTAGAAGAAACAAAGGAAAAGAAATGGTGCAGGAAGAGAATGAAGGGGGGGCGGAAGAGGAAGAAGAGGAGAAAAAACTGATTAAGAGAAAAAGGAGGAAGAGGAGAGGGTAGAAAAACATAATGAGGAGAGTGAGGAGGAAGAACACTTGGGGAAGGAGTTTAATTATGCTCAGAAGGAGAGAGAAAGGGGGGAGAAACGATGAGGAGAGGATGGAATAACAAGATGAGAAGGAGGAAGAGGAAGAGGAAGAAGAATGGGAGGAAGACGAGGCGGTTTGCTCAAGGTGAGGCAGCTCATCAATCAGTGTGGGAGCAGAGACTGATCGTGTGTCGTATTGATCGCAGCTCTGTGTGTGTGTGTGTGTGTGTGTGTGTGTGTGTGTGTGTGTGTGTGTGTGTGTGTGTGTGTGTGTGTGTGTGTGTGTGTACGTGTGTGTGTGTGTGTGTGTGTGTGTGTGTGTGTGTGGTAAAAAGTCAAAACAGGGTTTTCATCATGCTTAAAATTCCCGCAATGGATCAGTGCGGCTTTAACCTTAACAAGCTGTTGCTGTATTCTCATATTTTGTTTTCTCTGTGAAAAGAGAAACTTGTTTCCCAAAGCACTGAATATTTATTTCAGTAAGTTTTCTTCACTCAGATCCGCGTCATTTATCGACATTTTAAGAGGAAGCAGAGGCCGTTCCACAAGAGGAGAGCACGCTACAAAGGTAAAATATTTAGTTTTAGTCACATTTAAGCCATTCTATTCGTCATAGTTTTGTTGAGAAAAGTTCAACTTACATTTTAGTCAATTTTTTTTAAGATGTTTTTTTCTTTTATTTATCCTGAGAGCGTGTCAAATGTCATTTTCCTTCAGATTAGATGGAATGTTTCACTTATTGTAATTCAGGCAATAGAAATGTGTTATTCATTTCTGATGAGAAATACAGAAAAAAATATAATAAGCGGCAAACTAGTAAAACTAGGAAGGTTCAAAATGAATAAAGTGGGGACTAAAACCCCCCAAAGGCAGATATTAAATCTAATCTAAAATATCTCTGAGACAAACTCAGTGTGTACGTTTGGTAGGATGTCGGCATAAAGCAGTTATATATTCATGTATTACTACGTGTTAAGCAGTCCAACCTGTGGACTTCTTTAAAGAAGCCAAACAGCAGCAGAACTCCTTCGAACTCTGATTAAAACAACCGACCCTCATTTACATTTACTACATCTCAACGGCACTTCTGCAAATTCCACAGCTGTTTGTTTGAAGAAGAACTTGTTGTTGTGACCTTCATGGATTCATCGCACAAACTCTGCATTACTTTTGGCAGCAGAGCGTTGGCGGCTCTCTGCTCGTTAGTTTTTAATCATTATGTTCTGGGCAGGTTTTTACTCCCCATCAACTCTTTGTAGCATGCTCGAGGCTCGGGCTCCAGTCGGGGACGGGGAACCAGAACCAGAACCCCCCCCCCCCCTCTCTCTCTTCACCCCCCACTAGCGATCAAGTGCCCAGAAAAAACACTTGATACTGATATTTGTGCACAAGCAGACATCGTGGCCGAGGAGGGAGGGGCCGAACGACGGAACAAAAACCCAGACAAAATTTCAGAGCTCTGATCCCCCCCCCCCCCCCCGGGCTGACAGGGGTGACGAGTTTATTTAGCAATTAAGACAAAGTCACGGAAGAATTTTAAAACCACGGCCAGCGTCGCATCGCAGTGACAAATGAATTCATACGTTCATCCCCGGGGATTACTCACATTACTCACATTACTCACATTAGTCACATTAGTCAGCGGCTGCGACGGGAAAACTCATTTATGAAAAACGTTTAATGACGTGTGACTCATAGTATTTACTGTGTGAGTCCTTTCTGCACATCTGTCCACATCTGGCCCCTAACTTGAGCTAAATGACAGTGTCCCTCTGCCCACAGGAGGGACATGTTGTTTACAGCAAGGCGCCGACCCGGTCCGACCGGAATCTGCTGCACACACCGATATTTGTCGGTTTTACTAAATGAGATTAAGTGAAGCAGAAACACACACGCAGAGGTACTGGTGCTATTCAGCATCTGCAGACCAGCAGCCGGAGAATCCTAACGAACAAGCATCGTTAACATACTTAACGTCCCCGTGACACGGGCGGCGTTACGCCATCACCGTGCGGCGTAGAGAGCCGCCGCGTAAATGTGCACGTTTGATCCGGCGGCGTTATTATTGGTGGTTATGCTTTGGCTTCTGGGCTGTTTCCTCTCCTCGTAGTTATTGATGCTGAGTCTGACTCAACAGCTGGATCTGATATCAGTGACAAATTGCGTGTATATATTTATGTTCAGTGCAGCTTCCATTCCTGTTTTAAGACATTTTAGCAGGTTGCTGGTGTCTTGATTTATTTTTATACTAATAAATAACAAATCAGTGAATTTATAATCGGTGGGTTTATCTGTTATATTTTGAGGAAGTCCAGCCGGGTCTCGGGCTGAACACAAGAACACCTCCTTCACTCGTCCCGGGTCGCTGCATCAAAAAGGCACATTTGTGTCGCAGGACGGGACCACCAACCACAGCGGCTCGGCGGTTCTCCTACCTGAACAACTCCTGAGTCGCTGCTTCCACGGCGGCTTCAGACGGAGCACAAAGAAAAGATTCACATTATCACTTCAACAACAACTCTAACAAGGAGAATGATGGTGTTTGAGTCCACAGGCATCGTTCTCGTGGGTTCCACCATCCTACAAGTGGAGGTTTTCTGAAACGGGTTTGTCGAGGTTGTGGCTTCTAAAGAACATTGAAGTTAACTTTGTGGTGGATGGTAATTCCACTCACGAGTCCCACAGATTAACAGGTTAACAGCCTCGTACCTCGGACTCCTTTGGATCGTGTGCGATGGCGTTTTCTAGCCGCATTCACCTCCATCTGAAGAGGAAAACTGAAGAGTCAAACTGCTGTGTGTTTGTTTTGTTCCCCGCACGATTAAAGCCAGTTGTTTACCTGGTCAGAGCTCAGTGTGGCACCGTCCCGTAGCTGAAGAGTCTTTGCACCGAGCGCAGTTTCAGAGGACGTCTTCCAGAGTCATGATCTGAAAGATGAACACAGCGGCTTTGAACTCGGGTCTGCAGGCTTCCTGTGGGCCGATTCCCTCTGACACACCTATGAATTATAATGATTTTCAAAGAAGAACTTCAGCGCTGGAGCGACGCCTCGCAAACGCGGTGTGCACCTTTCCAGTGTGTTGTAGAATGCCGCGTGCTGTTCATTCGGGTTTCACCGAGTGAAAAGAACTCGCTGACCCACGTGACACCAGAACATTTCATTCACTCGGTCGATTAGGTGTTTCTTTGGAGAGGTTTTACAGACTTGTTGCTAAAATCATTTCAGCGACCTGCAGCATAGAGAACTAATGACCCATAATGAGACCAACAACAGGGATAAAAGAAGACCTTTTCTGCATTCATTTGACGAGTTTCGTGAAAGGACGAGACCACTTTTTGTTACACCGGAGGAGAAAAGAGAAGATTTTGCAACAAGACCTCCCAGTCACCACGGAATCAAATGTCAGCAGCAGCACACCATCCAGACAGTTCAGTTTAGACTTTAAAAGTTCACATGAATATCACGGCCTCGTGGACCGTAATGTAAAGTAAAAGCAAAGTGGAGGAATTGACTTCATTTAAACTGGCGGCGACCTCTGTTTCTGAAGATTGAAGTCAAAGCAGCTTCACGTGTTAAAGCTGCATTCTCTCTATTGACCACCAGGGTCAGACCCAAGATTGTATATTTTATATATGTTTATTCTCTCAGTAAACATTGTTTATGCTGTTAATCTCTAATGTTCTTCACAGCGTGGTGTAAATTTAGTACATTATGGCATCAAATAGACTATATAACAGGGCGGGGCTACTTTGGGACATGGTGTCTGCCATGGCGATGTTTATTCTGGAAAAACTCTTATGTTCTAGACTCTTTTTAACAAAACACTATTTATTTCTTTGATTTCACTCTTTCAATCGCACTTGAAGCTGTTTTACTTTACATGGTAACGCTTAATGCTTCACTCCTGCTGGTTATGGGAAGCACTTATAACTGGCCTTGGCTAAGAAACATCTAGTCACGGAGCAGCAACTAATTCTGCTTTAATTCTGGGTGAATTTGTGACTGTGTCGTTTTTGTCCCGACTGCAGTGGAGAAACACTTTGAATTGATTCTTCAGCCTTCTTCTCCAAAGCAACGGGTGAGGTTCAGGGTCGACAAAACTGATTTCTAGGAAACAACGAATTGAAATATTGTTAAATAATCCAGGGTGAGTCGTACCTTTCTAAACCGTATGGAAACTGAAATGCAAAAGAAAATGGTGATGGCTGAAATCACTCAGGATTTTATACTCCGACTTGTTTTAATTATCCCCATTAAGCCCACTGCAAAGGCCAAATATCGCAGACTCCATTCAAACCAAAGTACTGCTTTTTTTTCCCTCCAAACTCCCAAATCATGAACAAATCTCATGAGATTCTTGCTGGTTTTGCCGCAAACGGCAACATAAAAGACGAGGATGAAACAACAGTTTGGTGATGAAGACGTGAGCACAGCCGCCTCTTTCTCCTCAGCTGCAGTGCTGCTCGGGAGGGCGGGGGCGGGGGGGAGTGGTGGGGGGGGGGTTCGCAGCGTTAATATAAATGTAAATTCTGGACAGCCTCGCCTGAACCCTCAGCCTACTCCCATTATGTTGCTACAGCGCACCGAGGCCGAGTGCATCTGAGGCCTCTACTCTACTGAGCGCGCTCCAACGCAAACTTACATCAAACAAAGCCCCCCCCCCGCCGCCAAGAGCTCAGCCAGAGGAAGAAAAACCCAAATCCCCCCACCTCCCTGGAAACTATACCACTGAGTGGGCTGCACACTTGCGTGTGTGTGTGTGTGTGTGTGTGTGCCGCGGATGTGCATGTATAAACGTGCATGTGTGCACATGATGTACTAACTTCACTAGTGTGCATATGTGATCACCATTGTGTGTCCATAGGCTGTGTCCTTGTTCTGCCTCTTCACGTGTGTGTGCAATCTTATCCATCCATCATTGTGAGGACCAATGTCTCGGTGCGAACCTTCACTGTGAGGACATGTTGGATTGTCAGGACATTTATGGGTGATGAGGACTTACTTATAAAGTGAGGGTGTTTTTGGAGGGTTTTTGTGGGAATCTGGGAGGATAGCAGCCGTTTACATAGTCACGTTGTTTTGGATTGTTAGGACATTTATGGAAAATTAAAACTTATGTGCGTGAGGACATTTTCAGAGAGTCGGAATCTTTTGTAGAGTGAGGACAAGTAATATTTTTGCGAGAAAGCGTGACATTTTGCAAATACATTTCGTCTATCTTTGGAAAGTCTGCACATATTTGACAAATGAGATTTTGCCGCAAATTCATATATATATATAATGTCCAAGAGAGTCCTAACAAGCATATAACTACTATCACTGTGTGTGTGGGTGCAGACAGCTACGTATAATAATATACAATAATAATATGCTTGTTATTTTTAAGAAGTTATTTAATGTATTTTTTTATGGTAGACTAACCTGAATTATTGAAGCAAAAAATTAAAGAACAAGCTTGAGTAGTCAGCGTGTGTGTCTCGCCTAATGTGTGTGTGTGCGTGTGTGTGCGTGTCACAGTGTGTCCTACACGGCTGGATCGGCGCCGTGTGAAGAGGAGCTTCCTGCTGTTTAGTATTCAGTCCAACACTCTGCCTGTCTGGTACAATATGATGCAGAGCTCCCATACTGAGGCTCACACACTCGCTCACACACACACCAGCACACGCACACGCACACACACGCACACACACGCACACACACACACACACAGACCCACACGTAGACTACCAGAACAGCTCACAGCCTCACCTTCCCTGCCATAGATGTATAGTACACTCTGTACCTATGTGCGAGAGTGCTGCACAGCCTGGTGGCTGCAGCGCCCCCTGTAGGTCAAAGTCAAAACTTCACACTGACAATTCTCTCTTATTGCTCTAACTAATCGTTTACTAACCACGTGATGCGCTTGAGGGTAAATAACTATTATTTTAAGACATCTCAGAGTTACAGGAGGGAGATACGTTAGCTGCTTCCAATGGTTACCTGCATATAAATATAACTTCAGTGCTGTTTGAGGAGTGGCGTCCGGATCATTGTTGGCCAGAACTACTGTATGAATGTTACCAGACACTCAGCCAATCGGAAACGTGTATTTATTAGCTACCTGAAGCTGGCCTTTGCACATGTTTCACTCTTAAAGGATGAAATTCTATAGATTGAAATACAATGACTAATTCCATGACTTTTTTTTGGGGACATTCTGATAATACACCCACAAATATGTATCATCTGATTAAATACAAAGAAAATCCTCCTTTGTAGGCTGGAAACGTGATGTTATAGATACAGAGCATGGGGTTTTTTCAAGAGCTGCTTACAGATTTTTGAATTTATCAATTAAAATGTAAATTACTTCATAGTGCAGAGATTGCTTTCAGTTATCTTTGGGAGCAGCTTATGCATCTGTTTATGTCCGTAGAGAAAATACATCTTGCAGTCTAATAAATGTTGGTTAACTGATGCAAAAAAATTGTTGTATGACAATACATAAATTTGTAGGTCTGTAAATCAAAACCCACTAGTGTTAATGTGCAGGTTTGTCGTGACATCATTAAACTATACCTATTTGTCACATGTCACTTAAAATGCTCCAGATTCAGGCCCGCAGAGCCGGCAACACATATTCAAACACACACAGGCAAATGTTTGTGGCTCCAAACACACACAAACACACACTCAGCCAGGTGAGGTGTGTTGTTTGCAGCGGAGCTCGACAGCAGCTCTGTGTTTTATTGCTGCGGAGCACTTTTATCAAACCCAACAAACAGAAACACACCTGGTGTGTGATGTGACGCTGCAGAGCGCAAACAATACAAACTGAACAGAGCGAGAGAGAGAGAGAGAGAGAGAGAGAGGGAGAGGGGTGAGACAGAGCACAGCTGTCTGTCTGTCTGTCTGCTCATCTGTCTGTACTTCGAGGGAGACGTTGGGTTTCATCCAGGACTAAACTTGAATCTCACAGTTTTTAATCATTAGATGCATGTTCTGTATTTTCAAAAAAAAACTTCTACCGTCACATGAGGCGAACAGATTGAGCTCACTACACGCATATTTTGGAGTCCCTTTCCAAAATAAACTAACACGGTTAAAGCAAAGTTTCCGCATGGCACACGCATTGTGTTGGGTCAATGGTGGCACATGCAGTAGAGAGGGTGAGCTGGGAACCGCAAGGTTGCTGGTTTGAGCCCCGGTTGCTTCATGTCCCATGTCAAGGCAAGCAAGTGCACAGGTGACATTAAAACTGAGGTAACATAAGTCGACACAAGCAGGGATCAACATTCACAATTTCCTTATTAACGAGTTCTGCGGGGTTGTGACGTACAAATGTTCCGCGGTGCGGTTTGTAAAGTCGGCGGTGTAAAAACACACACAGGAAGCAGCAGCCGCAGCAGCTAAGCCTGGTGTGAAGCCCCCCTCGCTCCCTCCTGAGCACAGCCCCACTCCTGGTTACCATGGAGACTGGACCGATCGGGTGATTAGCCGCATCAATTAACCTCTGACCAATCACGGAGAGAGCCGAGCAGCAGCAGCTGACTGCGATCTGCAGATACGACCACAGCTGAATTCAGACTGCCTGCTAAATAACAATGAAAGCTGATGGGAATTCTGCATTAGCATAGTAAATTACATTCCTGCACTGGTTGTTGCTAAAGCCAACCCAATTTATTTATTGTTATGCTTTCAAAGCCCTGTGGTCAATGTTTTCACGGTGAGATTAATCTTATAAATGAAAAAAAAAAACTAATCCACGTTTTTGCGATTTTTGGGCCAAAAAAAAATGTTTTTGCTGTTTTTCTAAAAAACATATAACTCGTATTTCCTCTTATTTCTGGGGTCTTTTTTTTAGATTTCCTTGACGGATACATTTGCGTATTCCACACATGAACTTGAAACAGCCCCTACAGGGTTTTCTGGCCGGTTCATGTTCACCGTCTCGCCACGCAAGTTCTTTTAATGATGGAATGTGAGAGCAAGGGGGGGTCTGATCCCCCCGATGACCAGGTCTGTGTCATGTCAGCACTATTTAAGTGAATTTACTTTCTTCATGTCGGAGGACATTGGCCATGTTGGAGAAAATCTTTTCATTGAGTATTGGCACATGGTCACAATATTTAAGGTCTGACGGGTGAGTTTGTGATTAAACGGTTTAACCAAAACTAGCCTTGTCTTTTTGGTAACATAGTCAGGATAATTACTTTCTGTCATCATGTTGTTGTTTTTTTATGAAACTGCTTGCTAAGGTTCTGATCTGATGGAGCACTTTATAACAATGGTGTTTCATAGAGGATTTGGCATTTTGGGCTTTGATTTTGATTTGGCGCGGCTCCTCCCGTGTCTGCAGGAGCGCCCCTCAGTACTCGCGCTGAAATCAATTAGCAGTTTGTTCTCTTCATGGAGACATTTGCAGGGAACCTGCAGCTACGTGACCTTACAGCAGATTAGTGTGCTGCCAGGGATTATGGGTAATTTCTCTTCTTAAAATCAAACTGTACTTTTACCGATCAGGTAGATCACGTGGTTTTTGTTCAGCTAACGTTAGCTCTTGCTCGTTCGTTGCCAAGCAACAATTTCCAAAGAAGGAGCAGCAGACAGCAGTAAACGCTCGGTTGGATCGGGGAAGCAAAATGGAACTAGAGTGGAGAAAAGATATTCATGCATTTAGTTTCAAATTAGTATAGTTTGAAATGTCTGGCGCTACTTATTGACCCGCCCGCCCCCCGTCGGTCACCTCTGTTGACCAAGCAGAGCAAACATAGCACACAGGCTGTGTGATTGGCAGGTGGAGGGGTGGATGTGGTGAGTGAGTGAGGTTTTAATGATCTGTAACAGGCAGACGAGGCGGCTCGTCGGTGGACACACAGATCCTCGATCGTTACTCCTCACAGATTACTGTGCTGTGGACAGAAGATAACTTCTTCCCTTTCATTACGGTAACCAGACCAGGACAAGCTCCTCTTTCATTGTCCAGACGGAGAGACTATTTAACCGAGTATGCCGAGGTCAAAAGTCTAAAGGAGCGAAGTAGAAAGGTTTCGCGTTAATCACTTCTATAAACTAAACCGCCATTCACATGAAGAGCTCCACACACGCGCTTCACGGAGAACAGGATCTGCCCACCATGATTCATTCAAAGTGTGTGCATGTGGGGTTTTTTACACTGTGAGTCATTAGGAGCTCCAGAATAGAAAGTGGACGATGCCTTCTACTGTGTGTGTGTGTGTGTGTGTGTGTGTGTGTGTGTGTGTTCACTGCCAGCCCCCATTGAACAGAATGAGTTAATCAGATTGATGAGCGTCTTGGCAGCAGCTCAGATTTAATAAACCACAGACAGACAGACAGTTCAGCAACAACTTTTATGAGCCGATGTCTGCTCAAATCACGCTTGCAGAAACGCAACGCTACAAAGAAACGCTATGAAGCTACAATACAAGCAACGCTGCAAAGCTACGCTACAAAACTACGCTACAAAGCAACGCTATGAAGCTACAATACAAGCAATGCTACAAAGAAACGCTATGAAGCTACAATACAAGCAACGCTACAAAGAAACGCTATGAAGCTACAATACAAGCAACGCTGCAAAGCTACGCTACAAAACTACGCTACAAAGCAACGCTATGAAGCTACAATACAAGCAACGCTACAAAGAAACGCTATGAAGCTACAATACAAGCAACGCTACAAAGAAACGCTATGAAGCTACAATACAAGCAACACTACAAAACTACGCTACAAAGCACCGCTACAAAGCAACGCTATGAAGCTCTGCTGCAAAGCTTCGTTACAAATTAGAAACAAGGTCGCCACAACGTAGCACAACAACCCTTGTGTGGAATTATAAATGGATAAACTGTTTTTGCTCATTGAGGTGAAGCACCACAGGCTCTGGCCCCACGGCAGATTGAGACATTTACTGTGTTATTAACACGACGTTCACGCTCTGCAAAAAGATTCCGTGTCTCCACAATAATATAAAGGCTACATGTAAATATTTAGAATATTCCATGTGGCAGTTGCAAAAACTGTAATTGCAATTCCAGTTGAAAGTATTTTCTTCACTGTTCCTTTGGACCATCAAACAGAGTTGGTCTCTCTTTTTACCAACTGCAGTTGCTAACTGCTTTTCATGGGGCGGTCTCCGACAGCAGGAGCAGATTTGCCGCCGTCCTGATGAAGCAGCTGAGCATCTGCCTGGTTGAGCGGCATCTTCAAAGACACCTTAACAGCGATGTAGTTTTAGCAATTTGTAACACGCAGAATGCAAATGGTGCCGGCGTCACGTTTCACACGGGTCTCACGCTGGTGCAACAAGTCTGTGCTCTTTTGTTTTTAATGAGCTGCCGCTGCTCAGAAGTCGGTGGAAAATAACAGATTGGAACGACAGCTCTGGGTTCACGTCAGAACCCAGCGACTCGTCCCGGAGAGCCGGTTCTGGTCTGCGGCTGAGATGTGAATGGACCCCCGGGTGGGAATGAAGAACGATTATTGAGACACGGGTGGAACTGCAACCATCTCTTTTTTTTAGTTTATTCATTATTCCGCTCTGCAGCTCCGGCTTCCCTCCGTCTGCAGAGAGCGGACATAAAGGAGTTCTTTTTTAACTCGCGTTCCCTTTTCAGCAGAGTTCACCATCTCGACGGTTACAAAGCAAAACGGACGTCTCGTCTACGAGCCAAACCAACCCACTGCAGGTCGAAGGTCAGAGGTCACTGAGCGTGTGTTCAAATGATCCCACCGTGATGACCCTTTATTGCTGATTTGGACATTTCAGGTGGCCACACGTTCTAAACAAAGGTGCACCTGGAACACAAAATGTCTTAAACTAAGGAGCTAAATGACCAGAAGAGACTTGAAATGAACACTTGAAATGTGTGATCTATGAATGCATGTTCTTCCTGTTTCGTCCTCATTGCAGGTAATAATTATTCTGTTATTCTAAGAAAATAACTGACACGCTTATTGACAGAGAATGGAGAATTCTCAAATCCTCGGATTGACGCTCCAAAAACAACAATATTACAGAAAATTGCTAAAGCTGCAGTTATTAATATCTTTGTCCAATACAAACACATAGTGCAGCTTTGAGACAGAACAATATTGATTCTGTTTGATGATATTCTGTATGCACACTAGTTAAAGTCAGGATTATAAAAAGAATGTTCATCCTTTAGGTTGTTCAAAGCGTCTCCTTGTTCTGCTGTTGCTCGGATTGAAACAAAAGCTCTAAAATGAATAAATATAAAGTTAATTCTACACTTTATTTCTGCTGTCTGGGAATGTTTTCTTGTGCTGTCGAACAATAAAACATTCCCAGTGTGGTTTGTGAAATAAATCCCCTTTTCATTCACCTCAAGTCAGAGAGCCAAGAATAAAGTTCTAATCATTCACGCAGGAGCGCATCAGGAGGACGAGCGACTAAACGCTGGAACTTTCTTCTTCATTGGTGTTTTGAGCTGTCAATTTATTTTACATTTATCTCTATATTTAAGAACTTTTTTTAAATCAAGCACCTGAAGTCTGACGCTCTGAATAAAGAGCAGGAATTCATTCCGTTGATTTAATACATGCTGTTAATATGTATGTATATGTATAATATTTCATGAAATATTATAGAATCCTTTCTTTGTTTTTTTATGTTGTTGCTGATTTATTTTTGATTTTTTTATTCCTTTTTTTTCTTTTAATCATAATTGTTGGTATCCTGTTTTTGTAGGTACCCCAGAAAAGCTGTTTCCGACCGCTAATAAAACAAATTATTGTTTACTAGTCGTACTCCACGGCGTGGTAATTTACCAACACAAGTCTTCTCTTCTAAAGATTCAAACTAATTAATTAGATACTTCACCGAATGTTATGACTATCATTTATGTTCCTTAGACACAGACGCCCCTTGTATATAATAAATGTTTGAACAGAGGACGCAAACTTAATGAAAAGGAGCCACTGCAGAGTCACTAACGAGTCACTTTACTCACAGGGGGAGCTAAAGGAATATATATATATATATATATATATATATATATATATATATATATATATATATATATATATATATATATATATATATATATATATATATATATATATATAATATGGCTGCACCACACTGAACAAGCAGCACCCTGTGGGAGCATTACGGACACATCGCAGGATATCATAAGATGTTATGGAGCTCCTCAGAGTAACAACATATCATTTGTTGATAACGGAACATGAGCACAAACACGATCACAAGGTGTCATAAGGTCACGACACAGCGAGCAGCGGCTCACTGTAGGAATGTGGTACTATGAATATTAAAGTGAGTACAAGACAAAGACAGCTGGATGAAAACAGGAGACGACGAATTTAAAAACACCTCACAACGTGAGAGGAACGTAACAGACGCATTCATCACACAACGTCCCTGAACGCACCAACGCGCGGTTACATGTAACGACACACGGACTGTCAACACAGCTGAGCTGGAAACAGAAGCACGACTGACACGCAATGAACGTGACAGCGGTGACCGGACGGAAGAATGCGCAGCAGAAGGGCGCAAAACAGCGCGACAGAAGCAGCTCGGAGACACTACGTGACAGGTGACACACAGAAAGGAGAAGCACGTACTGGGATGGCGAAGATGGAGAGTCCGCCGCCTCTGTCTCTTCTTCCTCCTCTCCTCTTCCTCTCTGCCGGAAAGTCTGCAGCCTCCTTCCCTCTCTCTCTCCCTCTCCCCCCCCCCCCCCCCCCCCTCCCTCCCTCCCTCCCTCTCTCTCTCTCTCCCTCCCTCTCTCTCTTTTGTCGCCGTGCCTCCACTGGATGGAGGCGGTGGGAGGAGGAAGAGGAGGAGGCAGGGGGAGGGCAGACAGACAGGAGGGAGAGGAGGAGGATGATGGTGGGATGATGAGATGGTGGAGGGAGAATCAGACACTGCAGCAGTAGAAGCGGGAGAACACGGCGGGTTAACCCCCCCCCCCCCCCCCCCCCCCCACCCTCCCTCTCTCTCTCCTTACTTCCTCCTCTTCTTTGTAGCTGTTTTATTAATTATTTTTATTATTTCTCAGGTTCGCGCACGCAAATTCCCGGCGACGCGCCCGACGGAGAGCCAGCTGCAGGGTGAGCGCTTGCACGCTCTCAGGGAAAATGCATTCATTCTGTGTGTGTGTGTGTGTGTGTGTGTGTGTGTGTGTGTGTGTGTGTGTGTGTGTGTGTGTGTGTGTGTGTGTCGGGCCCTGCAGTCAGTCTCTGGGTGTTTTGATTTTCCACCCTGCCGACCAGATCTCTCACACACACACACACACACACATACACACACACATACACACACAGACAAAAGTCTCTATAGGCATTGAAATGCATCAGTGTGTCATTTCCTTTGTTCGGCTGCGTGTAACAAAGCAGTCAGACTCTAATTTAGACTGTAACTTTATTATTATTATCATTACTCGTGTGTTAGGAGTCACTTTGTTAAGAAATCCCCTCATGTGTGTGTCAGCGTCTGCAGCAAACTCCAAAATCCCAGATTAAAGAAATGACCTGAAAACATATTTTAGAGTTCCTCTCCACAACATCAGCTGTTAAATCATCTCACAGAGGAACGGATTATTAGTCCGTTTTACTCCGTGCAGCAGAGCAGTGTGCAGCAGAGGCATTTTATTTTGACAGGTCATGTGATGAAGCCATGAGGCAGGTGTTATGCTCTGACTCATGTCTGTTTAGTCATGCAAAGAGGAAGTCAGGGGATGTTAATGGAGACGTTTTCGACCAGTCAGTGACCTCCAGGTTCTGCAGAGGAAAGCCGATGGTGAAGTGTGAAAAGCTGCGTTCTCTCTCCTGACCAGCAGGGGGCGACTCCTCTGGTCCCATAGAAGTCTATGAGAAAATGATACTTGATACTACGTTTCCTTCACCCACTCCTTCCTCCTCCCTCCTCTTTTTCCCTGTTTCACCTCTTTTCCGTCATATTTTAACCCTCCATCCATCTTTTGCCTTCTTCATTCTAAAGTCCTCCACCTTCCTCCTGCCCTTTACCTCGTCATCCTCCCCTCATCCTTCCATCCCTCCTGTTTCCCTCTTCTTCCACACCTCTCGTCTCTTCTTCTATCTGTCTCTCTCAGGGCCGACCGGCGTGAACCGAGGACACAGAGACAGCAAGGACACAGAGGGAGCGAGAGGTAGAGCGAGCTTGGTTTAAACAGGCTGACCTACTTAGGGTCACGCTTCAATAAAACATAGAGACTGAGAAAAGAACCATAGGTCTCTCTCTCTCTCTCTCTCTCTCTCTCTCTCTCTCTCTCAGAGTTCAGTCTCCCACACAAATCCCACAAATCCATTTTTCGCTCAGTCAGTTTGAGCAACAAGTAAAAACAGTTTGACTGATTAAAGTCGTGGATAAGTGAGTAAATGTCTTCACATGTCTTGTGCTTTTTTCAATTTTGCTTTATTGTATGACAAAGAAAAAGTATCTAAAAAAAAAGTTGCAAAGCAAAGATGGCCGTGAGGAAGAAACCTACAGATTTAAAGCAGACCGTCGTTGCCTGGTGTTGAGTACAAACCAGGGATATGAACGTCTCACCTGCCAGTTGCCAAGGCAGTGAGGACACTGTGCATTTATTTATAGACCTCATTTATGTCCTCGTGTCTTTTCGAGCACTTCCACTTGCATTCAAGAAATACCTCCGTAGAAACAAATATGAATTATTATTTTCGACCTCGTACTGGTGCAGCTTTTGGCCTCCATTGTCCTACAGTGTAAGTGTACAGTGTAATTGGAGTTTATAAAAGTCTGAATAAAAGCAGCTCGTTATCCCAACACGGGGACACTTGTTCATGAAGCTCAATAAGGGCAGGCCCTCCTCTTCCCTCTCACCCTCCAGTTCCCTTTAACACTAAATACTAAAATGTAAGGGCCGTTTATTGGCCCTTAAACTTGACTTGTTTCCGTTCATTTGTCGCACGCTTTGAGCGACAGGAAGTCCGACAGCTCCCGTCATTCTTCTCCGCAGTAGCAGCTTCTTCTGGAGGTTGACTCTTGAATCTTGGATTGAAAACGACGGCCTCGCTCTCTGCAGAGATGAACCGCCGCTTTTGTTCATCTGTACAGCAGATTTTTAAACGAGTAAAAGAAAAACATGACACAAAGACCTGAATGGAATTTTATTAAAAACTTCTCTCCTCTCTGGGAACTGTGCACCGAGTCATGTGATAGGAAGCAAATGCAAGAGCAGAGAAAGTGGGCTGAGAGGTGCTGTTGGTCCTTAAACAAAACTATCCTCTAGGATCCTCTAGAAAAATGGAAATGTACACATCATTTCGAGAGGACTTGTGTTTGAAACTCTCCCAGTTGAAGACTTCAGTTGACTTTTTGTCTCGATAGATCCGTTAAAATCAGAATGGCGAAATGTAAGAAGCTGCAGTTCCCAGAATGTCCACTTGAGGCGCTGAAGCACGTCAGCGGCCGTGGACTTCTGTGTTGAGAATGTCCATCCTGAGAGCAGAAATCAACATGTTTGCAGCCACTATCTTTTAGAGTCAAACTTTTCGATTTTCGATTTTTCGACACACTCCACACACACAAATCCGCCTACTAACCTGAGCTGGTTAGTCAGATTTCAGTCGTTCCTACCGGATTGGATCTGAACCAACAGACACGCGATGTCGACTCTGGATGAGACGCCCCCCCCCCCTCTCTCTATAGGTCTGCAGTGTGTAGGTGTGCAGCAGTGTGTAATAGGTTTTTCAGTGCAGCTCTGCAGCCCGGAGCCTCCACCGGGCTCAGTGGGAGAAAGTCAATTACAGCGGGGCTGAGCCTGGCCTGCAGGGGGGCGTATGGAAGGGAGATAAGACGCGTAAAGATGGCTGCCGTCGAGCGCCTTCCCCTCGGCTGCATGCATGGGCGGCGAGCTGCTGCACTTTGCCCTCCTGCAACCCTCCAGACGCAGAGCCAGGAATGCTGCAGCGGAGAAACAGAAGCACAGGAGATAATGTCACATTTAGTTTATTCCGATATGCAACTTTTTTATTGATTCTTTTCTCTTTTTTTATTGAAATGCTCAGTAACTTTCTCAGGTTGTTGGAGAATTCTCTAAAATATATAGTGTTGTCAATTGTTTGTATTCGTCAAGATATCATCGTACTAATCAGGTCGACGAGCTTTGTGTGTTAAAGCTGCATTCTTTCTAGTGTGTTATGATCAGTTAGAACATGTTCCCACTTTCTATCGACAAGTGATTGGAAGTAAAAGAACAGTTCTATTGAAACAGGAAGCTGAGCGTGTGTGTGTGTGTGTGTTGTAAATCCTCGGCTTAGACGGCAGGCAAGCGACAGCGAACCAGATGCTTTGTTGTTGTTATTGTTGTTGTCTAAACACATACAGACACACACAGACACACAAATTGAAAGACACGTAGAGATTGGACAAGCTTTCAGCTGGTCTGTTTGTGTGGTCTCGCTGCAAAAAAAGTAGTGGAAGCAACTTTAGCCTGGCGTGTGTGTGTGAGTGTGTTTGTGTGTGTAGGCCTGTGCGTGTGTGTGATCTCTATTTTTCTACTATATTCTACTATATATACTTCTATATTTATGAGGACTGAGTTGGGGTTTACACCTTCAACCTGCCTCCTAACTGATGGGTCCAATATTCTCTATCTTGTACCTCTGTTTTTGGTCTCCACCAGTGAGCAACACATCTCGGTGGGGCTTATAACAAAGCTGATGTTTTATATAATAAATATGTCTGTTAAGTAACTCCAGCTACAGATTCAGCCCAGCTAAAAACAAAACCAAGATTTGGTTTCGCCGAATGAGTGAGTTTGAGTTCTCTCTGTAAACAGTGGAGCACTGTTTATACCTCAGGCTTTTATTGTGAAAGGTAAGAAAAGAATCAGTTCTGCGCTGCAAGGTTGGAAGGATCAATAAAGTTTCAGTTATCCTCAACTTGATCGGGTTATGCTTTTGTTCTCACTACAGAAGCTCAATAATAAATTGACTACATTGGTGGGAAAAACACCTTAAATTCTGTGTGAAAACAGTTATGACAAAAAGTCATAACTGATGTGAATTAATTGTGAAAGAAAGAACAGGCAGCCGGTGTGGAGAGGCCTGCGCGCTACGTCAGGTGGCGCTCAGAAGGGAAGCAGAAGATCGAAGCCGAGGAGCTGCGATTCAGGAGACAACCTGTGTCTCACTACAAGTGAGGACATGTTGCCCCCCTCCGTTACTCCAAAGGGCCGTTTGAGGGGTTAAAGCTATTGTTAGGTTTCATTAAATATGTTTAAGAGGCTAGACAACGAATTGTGTCAGATGAGGGTCCTCACAAGGACAGAAATACAATAATGTGTGTGTGTGTGTTTCTGAAAGCCTAAAGCTCCTGGCTGCACAGGATTAGCAGTCTTGCGTTTCAAACACAGAGCGAATATCAGCCTCATTCTCCCTCTCTCTCTCTCTCTCTGCAGAAGCTAATAAGCTCCACTGGTTTCCCTCCTGCAGAGAGCTGATTACAGCGCTATACCTCATATACCGCCGTTCACCTCCCAGTACACCAATATCCTCCCCAATAAACTACAATACACTGGACCCTCCATGTACCCGATGCACTATTAACGCACGGCTCGGCCCGGGTGGGTCGGCTTTTGCAATTTAAAGTATCATATAATAGCTGTATGTGTCCTGACATATATTCCCTCTCACACTTTTAGTACGTAAAAGGCACCAATGAACGTATCTTATAGTATCGTGTGTGTCCTCTTCCTCTGAGCT